GAGTTTTAATTGTAAATCGTATCAGATACATCTTAAGGGACCTCGTAAGCTCTGGCAACCACAAACCTCTAATTTTGATATAACATTCTAAATTTATAGAGGTAAGATACGTGCTAAATAGCTTTGACTCGCTGGCTATCTAAAGGAGCTTGGAATTGGAAATTACCGCCAACTAAATATGCTTAAGTTCCTCAAATACCGGACATCCTGCACGTGCTAACTGGTTTTCTTTCCGAAATGATCTAAAGCAGATAGTACCCTAAAAATCAATTTTTAGCGTATCTCCTTAAGAACTATCTACACCAACATGCATCTTAACATCTTAAAATAGTACATTTGTAGGTACAAAATACATGCTAGTTTTTACTCCGCCTAACCGGGGAAACAAATGTAGACATCGAAAAGGCGATTTTCACTCCCGTCACTGGTCTCACTTTACGGCATATGTAGTTCGAAAGTTAGGCTCCAAACAGGATGAACGCATATGAGATCGACGTTTTTAAGTCTATAGAACATAGCAGTATGTTATAAAAACTAGATGTTTCGCTCTATTGTGACCTCAGGTGTACAGAACTCTATACTCTATAAAATTGGATAAAAATCAACTTCCTAAATAAAATGAAAAGTTTCTTTTACTCGAAGGAAAAAAGGGGCAATTGCTCAGTAAACATTTTAGCGCTCATGGAAGAATGTAAGCGATATATGCATCTCCAGGAAAACTGCGAAAGCCACGATAAATGGCAAATATTTTGGTTTATACATCAGTCCTTCATGTTTAATATGGTAAAACCTGAACAGAACAGACAAATCCTGCTACACTATTGAGTAAATACTACCAGGCATATGTAGATACATGTATATTTCAGTTGGACACTAACTGGGGGCTATTGTAAAATTAATCATACCCTTGTCCCTCTAGGTGACAGTTTGAAAGGGGATGAATATGTAAATTCAGTCATAACCAGCAAAAAAATACACACCAGATATTATACTTATAGAGTGCAATTAGTCTTTAATAGAGTAAGATTTTATTATTAGGCAATGTCTTTTTCTTTGCTTGCTGTTCAAACAACGTTTTTACCTCGGCAAAGTCTAATCAGGAAGAAATTCCGGTCATATGTACTTTTATAGACACATTTGGGCATGATACAAATACCATTTCTAGCAAGTACGGATAAATCCCTCTTGAGAAATGTTGGAAATTAATCCGTTATTACTATGTATAATTTGAAGGAATTTGCAAGAATTTCAACCGCATCAAATCTCGCAAGACTCATACATATTACAGTTGGTAAACTGCACCAGCAGCAGGTAAAGTAGGTCGAATAAAACCGATTTAATACATAAAGAAACCATTATGCTTGAACCATTTACTTGCAAGAATGGATGAAATTCATGGAAAGCTAAACTATTTTAACCGCATTGAAAAATGTATTAGTTACAATTTTCCAGCAATACATAACGACCTTTTAATGTAAAAATTGTCACTTTTAGCTGCATCAGCTATCAATCTCTAATGTATTTGTAATGAATGCGGAAATGGCAGCTTTCTTCTATTTAAAAATATGAACAATTTATAATATAGGAGGGTGAATTTCTCATATCATCATCCAAACGTTGTGTTGACTTCGCTTTTGAATAAATATAGACGCTGATGTGCATTTTAACGTCTAAAATTCATCAATCAAATAATCATGAAAGGGGAAGCACCAACATGATTTTCGAATATGGGAAGCTGTTTAAAATATGAGTATGTGGAAATTTCAAGCCGTTTAAATCGATACATGGCGGTTATTTAGCGTAATTTTGCTCTGTTTTGATCACATTGCCAGTGCTACTGAATTTTATAAAAATATTGAATATCAATTACCGTTCACTTTTTAAGTAGATATGTAGAAAATAGTGAAGCTGCTGTTTAATAAGAGTCAGATAACGTAGAATCCTTAGTTGATAATATATGTATTAGGAGGGTGATTTATCTGAACCCCTCGCGCCTAGAAATCGGTTGCAGATTATGATGTAGTACAGTCATAACTCGTAATTAACAAATACACACTACGTGGATACTTGGATCCGGCTCAGACAGATCCCGGCGGTCTTTGAATTCCCGGGTAAAATAATGCCATTAAAATTCCGAACGTATTTGCTAGGTAGAAGGCAAAATTTATATCGCCCCATTTAACACCACGTAGTTTTACTGAAGTCGGTTAATGGGGTAACTTTCCCTTTAATTAATTTGGAAAATTTGGAAATGCCACAGCTGACCACAATGGGGTAGCTCGCTTCTAAGTAGAAAAAGCTCAATTAAAGCTGATGTTTCTCTGAAATTTCTCAAAAAATTTCATTCTAGAGTTCTCATGACTATGAGGAGTATGCCTGTTAGTTTAACAAATCACATTTACTCAAAAGAATTATATATTTGCGTTTAGTTTTAATCCATTTCGTGTCATATAAGCACATTCAACTTCCCTGTAACCCTTTTAGCTAAAAAATGTTCATCACCCAACTCTGTAAGCCACAAAAGGACATTTCAATGGCAAAACAATAACTCAGAAATGGAGATGATGAATTTCTGGAGGGACGTGACCCAAACTTGCCGGGCGCAGTATTAAATTTGTATTGTCAAATAAGATTAATTTCTAAAATGGCTGATAGCTCTGGCATAATTTATCTGTCTCACGCCCTTAGGGATTTGAGATGTGATACGTTTTCGGTAAATAATGTGGTTATGATAATTTTACTTTCCAAGTTGAGAGTTGAGAGTTTCATCGATCTTGACAAATGCAGTTCAGATTTGCCAATTTTAAATCCCAACTAAGTTTCCTTCGACGTTAATTATAATTTCATATCGCCACAATTTCCAGATTGAGTGATTTCATTTTTTGCTTCTCCAATATCTTCTGCAAGGCATAAAAAATGTGCCCATTAATACAGGCGCGAATCCAGTTTTCAAGTCAGGAGGGTCCTGACTCATTATATTGGTATCTTTGAATAGAGAATTCGATTTAGTCATAACAACACGTGTGAGGAAATTCGGGCAGTTTTGAACCAGAAAGCGAAATTTGAATATCAGGCATTTAAGTGCAAAATTATGCCAAAATTGCCAAAATTACATGTTTTTCCGGCCCGTTTTTGCACGTTTCTCGGAAGCAAAATGAGCGAGAACGCTCATTTTTACATCATTCCAAAGAGAAATTAATGTTCTTTTTAGAAAGTGAACTCTCGATAAGGAAATGTTGGCAGATTTCTCAAAAAAGTCTTGACTTCAAAGAAGTTCTAGCTTTGGTTGTTTTTTATTCAGTTGCAAAATGGACTCAAACATGACGCTGCTTTTTTTAAAGTTTCTCAAGCCCCATTTGAGCCACAGAATTAGTTTTAGCATTGTTGAATAGAGAATTGAAAACTCGATTCAGTTATATCAAAATCAGTGAGGACATTCGAGTAGTTTTCACCCAGAAGGCGAAATTTGAATCTCATACACTTCGGTGCCAGATTATGCCAAAATTCCATGTTTTCCGTTCCGTTTTTGCACGTTTCTCGGAAGCAAAATGAGCGAGAACGCTCATTTTTACATCATTCCAGAGGGAAATAAATGGCCTTTTTAGAAAGTGAACTATCGATAAGGAAATGTTGACAGTTTTCTCAAAAAAGTCTTGACTTCAAGAAGTTCCAGCTTTGGTTGCTTTTTATTCAGTTGCAAAATCGGCTCAAACATGACGCTGCTTTTTTTAAGTTTCTCAAGCCCCATTTGAGCCACAGAATTCGTTTTGGCATCGTTGGATAGAGAATTGAAAACTCGATTCAATTATAACAAAATCAGTGAGGCAATTCGAGTAGTTTTCACCCAGAAGGCGAAATTTGAATCTCATACACTTCGGTGCAAGATTATGCCAAAATTCCATGTTTTCCGTCCCGTTTTTGCACGTTTCTCGGAAGCAAACTGAGCGAGAACGCTCATCTTTACATCATTCCAGAGAGAAATAAATGGCCTTTTTAGAAAGTGAACTATCGATAAGGAAATGTTGGCAGATTTCTCAAAAAAGTCTTGGCTTCAAGAAGTTTTGGATATGCGTGTTTTGTTTCAGTAGCAAGCTCGACTCAAACAGGACGTTGCTTTGTTTTAAGTTTCTCAAGCCCCATTTGAGCCAAAGAATTCCTTTTGGCATCGTTGGATAGATAATTAAAAAATCGATTCAGTTGTAGCAAAATCAGTGAAGAAATTGGAGTAATTTTGACTCAGAAGCCGAAATTTTAATCTCATACACTTAAGTGCAAGATTATGCCAAAATTCCATGTTTTTCCGGCCCGTTTTGCACGTTTCTCGGAAGCAAAATGAGCGAGAACGCTCATTTTTACATCATTCCGAAGAGAAATAAATGGCCTTTTTAAAAAGTGAACTATCGATAAGGAAATGTTGGCAGATTTCTCAAAAAAGTCTTGACTTCAAGAAGTTTTAGATATGCGTGTTTTGTTTCAGTAGCAAGCTCGACTCAAACAGGACGTTGCTTTGTTTTAAGTTTCTCAAGCCCCATTTGAGCCAAAAAATTCGTTTTGGCATCGTTGGATAGATAATTAAAAAATCGATTCAGTTGATGCAAAATCAGTGAAGAAATTGGAGTAATTTTGGCTCAGAAGCCGAAATTTGAATATCATATACTTAGGTGCAAGATTATACCAAAATTCCTTGTTTTCCGTCCTGTTTTTCCGTCCGGTCGCGGAAGCAAAATGGGCAAGAACGTTCATTGGCAACGAGAAATAAATGGCGTTTTAAGAAAGTGAACTGTCGATAAGGAAATATTTTAGCCTTTAACTTTAACAAGAATATTGAAATTATAAATTAGTATCGCCATGATGCGTTAAACAAGTTCAACATGTTATGGTTTCAATTAATAATATGAAGTTATCACTTCTGTGGAGCGTCCCGAGACGAACACCTTTTTCTAATTATTGCAAAAAGGAACAACGCAGGACACTTACCAGCAATGACAAAAACAACTGAATTAAGGTAAATTTATATTACACTTAAACTAAAAATCTTGCACAGTCTTCCTCATTTCCAAAGCCCTCAGTAGGTGCCCAATTCAACAAGCGGGTTCTTTGGTTAATTGCACAAATTATTTGAGAAAAAATCATGCTAATAAAAGCATTGGCAAAGTAAATACCGTGCCTTCTCTAAACTAAGATCAAACTTCAATTTAAAACCACTTGAGCCCTTTTGGCTCAGTCTGGAAAGCTTCCACACATTTCGCCAATTAAATTAAAGCGTCTGCGTTATTTTCACGGAAAATAAAATGTAGAATGCATATTTTTCAGTCATGTTATGTTACCTCAAACATTTCTGCTATTACAAGAAGAGGGCGACTTGTTCTTTCCGCTTGAAATTTCAGAGCCTTCCTATCAAAACAATGTAACTATATTTTCCAATGAATGCCCTAATAGTTGTTGAAAATAGTTCTTGAGAGTTACTTGGTCAAATAATATTAAAAAATGTTGATTCAATATTAATGACAATGTTTTCTTATATTTGTTTATTTGGCTCATTAGTAATTTCAAAGCGACTTATTCGAATGCATGAGATTAAGGCATGTTTAATTCGTCTTCCACAGATTTTGGGTGGAAGGTCTCAAATGTCTAGTACACTTATTTGAAGAGCAATTATATAAATACACTTAGATAAAATCGAATTAATATGCTAAAATTGCTTTTAGACCTAGTTGTACATCCTCAGTATCCCTAAAAGTATGTGAGAGTCAAGCGCTTGACCGCAAAATTGGCAACAACACCTCCGACATTTTTTTACACACGACGATTTATGTACATTACTGCCAGACAATAGCTGTTGTTACAAAATCCACTTCTCTTAAATTCACGTCATTGCTCCTAAACTTCCCTAGAGACTACGCATAGAAAATAACCAACAATAACTACAAATAATGCCCTTAATCACTCATCTCATAGCTCTAAGAGAAGGTACTTTCTCCTGTCTCCTATATCTCATCTCTAAATGACAATAAGCCGAAATTTCCATGATAAAACTCACTGGGGAAATGGAAAATCTTCATCACAGCTGGACTCTTCACTAGACGTAGGCGTGTCCAGCTGTGGGAGACCTAAATCGAGATATTCCTCGTTAGCAGTAATGGTAAGAATGCGATCCAGCTCTTCAACCAATCCGGAAAATACTGGTCGTTTGCTTGGCTCATAACCCCAGCATGCGCGCATTAGTAAGTAAATGTCCATAGAGCAGCACGGAGGCTTCTCCATTCTAAGACCGTTCCTCAAAAGCTGGAAAAGTTTTTCCACACTCGGTACGGACGGATAGGGAGTACCTGAAAGAGAGAAACGCCCGTATGGATCGAGTATTCGGGATAATAGAGCTTTATCAATAGCGCTTTTATAAGTCCCACAATAAACTGAACTAGGGCAGTATATCAATAGCTCATAATTAATTACGAAATGATAATATAGTCGGGGCATAAAGCAAGTAAATAGATAGCCGTAGTGGAAATGCTAAATAGAAATGTCATAAACAGCACTAAAATAGTGCTGTTGTGCCGAAATTTGCTAATTAATTATTTCGCTCGGCTGTGAAGTTGAATTACTGACGGTTCAAATAGTCAAGAAGTTCTTATTGGGCAGATCAGTGCTTACCTCCCAAAGTCATTATTTCCCACAAAAGAATTCCATAGGACCACACGTCGGACTGCGTAGTGTAAACCCTATGGAAAAGAGCTTCCGGAGCCATCCATTTAACAGGCAAACGCCCATCGCTCTTCTTCCTGTAATAGTCGTTGCAATGGATGTCTCTGGCTAACCCAAAGTCTGCGATTTTTAAGACATAATCATCGCTAACCAAGACGTTTCGGGCTGCCAAGTCTCTGTGAATGCACTGAAAAAAAGCACGATCAGCCGATGCAAATTGAATTTCTTTCACCAGCTTACCCTTCTGGAAGATAAATAATCCATACCCCTAGCCACTTGGTAGGCAAAGGAAACCAGGTCTTTTTGAGTTAAAGTTTTCTTCTCCTTCTGCTCAGTGCCTACGGCAATTTCGTATCCAGAGGATGGTCGATGCTCTCTCAGAAAATCTTTCAAGTTCCCAAACGGCGCATATTCAACAACAACGTATAAGGGACCTCCTTGGGTGCAGCAGCCTATCAGGTTTATTATGTTTATGTTTTTCCCGATTACTTTCATCATTTCCATTTCTGATACCAGATCCATCATCTCATTATCACTGTGACCATCTAAAAAGTTTCGTTGCAATCAACCTGGTATTTAATGCTTGAAAATGATCAACCTTTCAACATTTTTACTGCAACAGTTACTCGGCTTTCGGGCTTCAATAGATTGATAGCTTCAGCCTTTACCACTGTTCCAAATGCTCCTTCGCCTAGATTTTTGCCCATAATTAGCTTATCTCTGGGTATTTCCCAGTCGGAATCCATTGGTAGCTCATACTCAGAAAGCAAATTATCTCCTGAGTTGTTTAGTTGCGCTTTCTGCTTCTCGATTTTGACTACTGGCATTAACTAGAATATTCCAAATTTAGAAGGTTTTTTTATTCATGTTTATTTCTGTGGAATTACCAGAGGCTCTGACACGTCCTCTGCATTACTCATTTTTTCGATTATCACTTTCTTGGTCCACTGAGTTATCATGGCAGACCTTGCCGATTCGATGGCGATCATTTTTTGTCTTTTTTCTCTGAAACGATATGTATATTTGTCAATTTCTCAGCTCCTTTGCTTGTCATCTGCCGGTGCTTACCGTTTGATTTTTTGCCTGTAATAAATGCAAATGTAGAAAAGCAGCAGAAATACGCACGCTGTTACTGCTGCTATTATTAATCCTATTTTTAAGGTGCTCGGCTTTGACTCTTGAGGATCTAAAAATTTTCGATTGCATTAAATGGGTTTGTCAGTAGATAAATGGGTTTCTACCTGAAAGTACATCAACAACTGATAAATAGGCTTTAGCTGTGGTACGACCTAAGCTGTTAGCTGCTATGCACACATACCACCCTTCATCATCGTAAGTTACGTTGCTGATTTCTAATTCCTCCGGTTTAAGGGTGTTTTTCAGCTTAAGCAACACAAATAAAACACTTTACAAAAGTCACTCAAAAATTACTTTTAATTAATTTAGCATGCACACAATCAACACTCAATTATTAATTGTTAATTTTGACTAAGTATTGCTGGGGACTTCTAGAAAGTTCCCAAAGGAAATTCCGACATTATTAATATCGTTTTAGAAGCTTCGACATCAAGAAACTCTGCCACTTGCGCACAGTAATTAGAACTGTTTCAGACTGCAATATTGTTTCAAATCTTAGATTTCACTCGGCTTCGAATAAGACCAATATAATGTATATATCAATTTTCCAACTACTCTCAAGTTATGTTTCATGCCAAACATTATTGCGAACTTATGTGACCTACTATATATCCAAACGGTTTCAAATGCTTTCAAATGATCAAATAAAATTCTTATGACGATATTTCATTTTCCCACCTGGTGTTCTGTGTGAATTTGACAAGAAATTGAAATAAAGCAAACTTTGAATAGTCTGAACAAATGTTATGAACCATAATGTATTATAATTTTGAATTGTTGTTTGTTTCTGCTTTTTTTGTTACTCGCCTTACTAAACTATATAATTCAAAAGCAATTAAAAGTGGTAAAAGAAGATAATAATCAATACAAACCATTGAGAATATGCATAAAATTGGCCTTTGCGTTTGTTATTCAGGAAGCTAATTTGTATATCGAAATTACTGCGTCTAAGTTCCACGGCAGATGAGGACTTCGAAGGAAGGAAAGCAAGTTCCATAAATTTGCCCCGAAAAACGATTCATTTTCCGAATAGCTAAACTTTAAATGTATATCATTTACACTTCCGGTAATTAAAAATGCGGACCAACTTATGAAGAAACCAGCTCGCATCAAAATTACCTCAAAGTTAGAGACACTTTGATTCGCTTCGAAGAATGTGCAGCAACTTTCATTAATTCACTTTCAACACATCATTCGATGGCACGCTTGTGGCAACAATAAAAATAAATTTCCATTGGTTAAATGGCAAACGTATTTGCTTGCAAAATAAATGAGTTACAAATGCAATCAAAAAAGCGATATGAGCTTGAAACCTTATTAAGATATGATTCAAGGACGATTCCCTTTCGCGGCCAGACAAATTATACCAATACCCATGACATATTTGTACATATTAACATTTTATTAATTACAAATGTCTAACCTGCCACCAATATGGATCGTACTGACATAAAATTACTTTCCAGTGCGCCCTGAAAATTAAATAGATCGTTGTTTGTTAGTGACAATATTAACACCTCCTCACATCAATTTATAGATACTGCCTTTGATTTCCACCACCAAAGAAGTGGATTAGCACTGGAAAGCTCCAGCATTTACATGTTTCTTCTAGCACCATCACCAAAAAGTCGGCAATAAATTTTGTAGTACCTTTCTACCTTCTAAACGAGTATCGTTTTGAAAATCGTGCGAGGAATTGAAAAAAACCCATTCTACAAACGGTTCCAAGTCAGCAACCAATTGAGGGCAAAGCAATTGAACGGTTGAGTTAACCAACGCAGTAACGTTGGCTGGAAAACCGTCCTTAATGTAAGGCTTATGTGGAAATCGCTCTGTTCAATAAAAAAAACAACTAAGTTTTCGCATGGCTCAACTGTTTATTTTGGAAGGTTATTAGCTTTACTTACCGACCACATCCATTACGTAGGTGAAATTCACACAGGCTAGTGGATTACATACGACACAAGTATAGTTTCCAGTATCATCAGTAACCAAATCTTCCATCAGCAACGACCAATGATTTTGTCTGTATTCCCCATAATGCCTTTTCGGTTCTCTTCCATTTTTGTACCACGTAATATTTGGAGTGGGATTCCCTCCTGCACGGCACTTCAGTTGTGCCATATTTCCCGCGGGTTTAACCACAATTCTTGGCATTTTTCCAGCATTAACAAAATGTGCAGGTTCCAGCACTGTTAGATTGTACTCAGCAATGAATTTCCCTTGTGAGTAGCAAGCATATACTCCTTCGTCTTTCACTGTTAAGTTTTTTATCCCGAAATTTTCAGCTGTTGACTGGTAGAAGGACCACAAGTTAGAGAATTTTTATTCAATATTTCAAGCAGCACTTACCATCGCTTTAAATTCAGTACTATTGGCAGATCGATATCTCCATTCGACACTCTCATCGTCCAAACAGGAAAATACTACATCTTCACTAGCGATTTTCTCAATTGCTTGTCTCATTGGCTCAGAATTTCTGGATATTTTTCTCACTGTGTCCTTTGAAATGTCTGAAACTAAATCTCAGAATATAAGCAACCGATTTGGTGTAAGGAGTGAATCGAGCAAGAAGCTCATGTAGACACTAATGAAATTTATTCGGCTGCAATTTTGCTGGAAAATTTAAGAGCATCTTTTGCTCACCTGTGGGATCAACAGCCATAGTGTGTAATGCATATAGAGTGACTGCAACTAGACTCCAAGGCCTGAATATCATCTTGTCAGTTGCTTTGCCGCAAATTATCTGCAATTGAACAAATCATTTCATGGGAATCGATTTGGCAAGATTGTTTTAGGGCACGATGACAAATAAGAAAAAAGCAAAAGAGCAATCAATCGAAAAAATCGCTGAACTTTACATGGGTTAAGTGAGCCTGACATTAAAATATCTAGATAATAAAATGATGGAGCCAAAAAAATCTTCCAGTTTGGCCTTCCATTTTACTGGCAGGAACATCAATGCCGTACGTTGTCTGCATTCGCGATTGCCAATAATGCTTTGATACATATCTTGCACCAATTTGGATTCGCAATGAATACTAAAAGTAGCAAAATATACACCTCATCCTAGAATCTAAGCAGGAAACATTGCAAAAACGCAAAAATTCGATGCAAAGTACAGATTAAATTCAAGCGTGAAAGAAGAATACTGAGACGCCTCTGGAAAAGTTTTAAAAACAAATCAAGCAGATGTGTCTCACACGAACGACTATCTTAGTCCAGAAGTCTTTCCAGTTCTCGACCTTTGCAGACTTTCTCCCTGACAACGCTTCTTTTTCACATTTCCAAACTGATTTGTTAAATATATTCCTTGAAGCTTTGCGAACGAAAGTCGTCTGGCATTTTGGCCAAAAGGTGAAAGAATCGAATAGCCATTGAGTTTGGATGTTTTATCGGGATGTTAACTGTCGCAAAAAAATCGACTTTCAGTCAGCATTAAGGAGGAATGGTTCCTTAAATCCACTTGAAACACCCATTTATACATCAGTATTTTTCTGTATTTTAACTATCGTTGGTTCGTAATTGCCATATTCATTTTTAGTATTCTATCCTGCAAATTCCCACCTTTATTTTCTACTTCATTGAGGCAGCTTTTAAAAATTTCCATAAAGCCTGAGAGGTTTTCATTGCCAGCTACTAGCCAAGGTTTATTTCATGTTGAGTTTAATCAATCTTTTATCGAGTAACTGGCCATTCTTTTTCAATTGCCTGAGACGTTTTATTGATGACACTTTATCCGTTACCACCGAAATTCAATTTAAAAAAAATTAATCCATAGCTTGAGACAGTCGGGCATTAAATTGCGGTTTCCGAGTTTTGAAATTAGCATAAATCTGTGTTCGAATTCCTGGTTAATTTCAGTGGGAAAAAAGTCAGGCATATGAAAATTTAAAACTTATGAAAATTGAAAATGTGTGAAAAACTACAGATAGTAATTTTGGGAATACTGATGATGCAATTATTTATGAGCAAATCAACATATGGTGTCTTCAAGATAGCACTGCGAGATAAATGATGGGACAGTGTTTCCTTTAAGTAATAAATATTCATTAGCCTTTTCAAAGTTCGATTGAGGTCAATGTTGGCGATTTTACGAATGCAAAACTACAATATCGGCAACCCTTAACAATGCTGATGACTAGAGTAGTAGGCGGCAAGTAACAAGCAAATCTTAGGCCATAGACCGGATGTCACTTAACAAGCCATTCGAATCTCCACATTGATTAAGATGCAAGAGTGTTCTCCTAAGCGTAAACTAACTCTACTTAGTATGCCTTAAGTATTTTGTTGTGTACCTTGCCAATAAATATTAAATCTACAATGGACACTTGAAAATGTTTCATTTCATATTCTGTGCATGTCACTGCTATGACTATTTATCATTATGTCCGGTTTACATCAATTTTTAATTACCCACCGTAACCACCTGTACTGTGTAGTTTTTAAATATTTGCTTGACACTCATTGGTTCCGTTTTAACACAATTCGTTACAATTATTGCTATCGAAAACTTTAAATTCTTTGTACAATGAGATGCAAACAATCGAGCTCAAAAAACATCATTTCAGTCGGATAAACACATGTTACTCTTTGAATTCCAACCATGTTTCTCTATCTCGATATTCAAATTTCACATATAAATAGAACTATGATTTTCATTATTCATGTCTCATTGCGATGCTTGTTGTCAGTTCTATCTTGATGCAAGTAGCAAGTGCCTGTCTTAAGCACAAGCAACTCAATGTTAGCACGGTTGAAATTTATAAATGTAAATTGTTATTTCACCATACAGAGCTTGTCAACTCTTCTAAAGTGGAAACAGTTGAATACATTTTTTAATTTTTTTCCCTTTTTCGAATTCCTTAATTCGTATAATTTCTGCCTAGCAAAATGAGCTACTAAATTTGATGGCCGTCCCTCAAAAACCCTGCAAATATTGCTACAGAGTTAAGTAATTAATAGATGCTCGATAAATATTTTAATTATTTTATTGGGAATGGATCCAAATTTATGTATAATTTCTCCAAGGTGAACCTTAGAAGCTTTCCCAATAAAAGACTCTTATTCTCTATTCAAGATTATTCTGCTAAATTATCTGTGAAGAAATTAGAGCCGAAATTTTTTAAATCAGTTTTTGCACGTGTAGCATAAAAGAATCTACCTGAAAAATGAGCTATTGAATTTGCTGGCATTTTCCCGATAAAAGCCCGAAAATGTTACTGAGCTCTGAATGATGTAATTATTTTAATTATTTTGTTGGGTATGAATGCGCTGAATTTTAAACTGCTTTGTTTTAATTTTAAAGCTGTGCGCAATAATTGCTTGATTAAAATCAAATTTTAATATAATTCCTCCGGGATGAACCTACTATTAGAAGCTTGTTCTGTTCAAAGTTCTTCGGCTATATTTTCTCCCATGAAGGTGAATATGAACTGAACATTGTTTTCCTGTAGTTTCGAATTCAAATGCTTCAAGTAACGTTATTGCATTGAGCGCGGCTTTACAATTTCTACATAAATAATTGAAAATTAATTTCTACGTCCTTCGTATTCAGGAAACGTTTTTTAAAAGCTAGATAAAAAAATTAATATGCGATTTTTGTCTTGCGGTCGTGTCTGCACCGTTATATTGCCAAACGCCACAAGGGAATAAAAATTAGCCAATACATCATGCTTAGGTTTACAAGACGTAATAATCATGTATTAAAGAACATCGAGGCGGTCAAACACCTTTTTATGTCAAATTTGTTACATAATGGAGCCAATTTGAGTGCTTTGTTGGCAGAAAGTGGATGCATGGAGATGCAAACGAAAATTAATCATTCGAAATAATTGGCAAAGGGCCGTCATGAATTTGGTCAAAATATGGACAGGAATTCGTCCAGAAAATCACATAGAGTGAAAAGCAACAGCAATGAATTAAATTCATAATTGACGATAATTATTCATATCCAGACACATCAACAGCGCAGTTTTTTCAGCTCCGATGCGGACTTTTTTTATTCAGTCCAATCAATCACTAGAGTCAATTGATAAAGCATTTCAGATTAAATCACCAATTACCTTAAACGAGTTAAATTAGAAAATGTATAATCGGAGCTCTAGTACGTTTCTCTGGGTAAAATAATGATTTTAAAGAAGACAAATGAGTCTATATCGTGTATAGGATGTATCAAAGCGTTTATCAAGCTGTCACTTGTCCAGACCACTAATTATTGGATCACGGGAACACCTTGCGGGAATCCAATTTATCAGATTTTGCACTGGAGCCTGTTCCAAAGAATATACGAGTGATTAAAAAATATTGCGGTCGTTTTAAAATTCAGGATTGATTATATAGCACTCCTATCTAATATAAACATGAAAAAACGAATTTTTCTTTTGCGTGTTCAACTGATAGCTCACCTGCCCAAAATTGTGATTGGACAAATTGTATTTCTGTTGCAATGTGGGTGGCTGGATAAAGCAATATCACGCCAACTGGGTTATATAAACTCAATTAATACTTTATAATATACTCCAGTGGATTCAAACCAATTAGAAGACCATCTGGAATTAAATGCCTTTGATAACGTAATCTCAAGGTAATTCAATATAAACTGATTTTCATTGCCGCATATAGGAGCACAATGTGGATCTTCCCCCAGCATTAACCCATTAGGCAGTATTAAATTTAATGTGTCTCTTTTTGCCCGTAATGTTAAAGACAACACAGTGCCGAGTTCTGCTCAATTTCCTCAAGACATTTTCGTTTCTACCTCCTACCTTACCGCAGAGCATTTGCCAAGTTTATGAAAAATTGAGGACGTTCTAAAAAGGATCCTTACATTTAAGTATTCAGCACCCGGTATAGCATGACTCAGCGCCGCATAAACAAGGGTTTTATAGCCAAAAATCTGCAAGACACCTTGCACAGTTTTCCCCATTCGCTTTAGAATATAGGTGTGAAAACTATTGCTCCTAGCGATAGGGTTTTCAAACATTTAAATAGTATTCCTGAATAGGAGCGAAACTGAAATTACCGATAAAGTGGAGCTTACCGCAGCTATTGAATCAATCAGAAGAGATTCTAGGAAGCCTCTATTCATTTGTGTCTGTAGCTTCAAATGAATTCTTAACCATAAACTGAAGAACGACTTTTACAATTCAAGAACTTTTTTATCCAGTTAGATATTAAATCGTTGTATTTTCATTTAATTAACATGTTCAATGGAATTATGCCTCTATAAGTTGTGCTTGCATTTAATCGCAAATCCGCATCTAGAAAAGATTTTGGAAACAAAACAGAAAGGCATGAGTAGATTTACTAAACCAACAAAAGAGTTGGTATATTAAAAATTTCATGAATTGCTTGGCTTATGTTGCCAAACAAGCGAAACTTTAATATACTTTTGTCCAGGAGTATCGTTTCATTCGACGACTAAAATGATCTTTAGATACGTTTACACAGTAATATGTAAAGAGGTAAATAATACACGAAAGGGTCTAATAAAACGAGATATTAATCTCCATACACTCTTTGAAGGTCTATTTCATCAGGGAGTTTATTAGAGGGTTGTAAAGCGATAAGAGTAAGATATTTGGTTAAGAATGTTTGAATATTCTTGAGGAAGATGGGGAACGTCTAATCCTGTACTAAGTTACCTGTGCGTGTTTAATTAAAGGAATAAATAATTAGCGTTGGATTTATAAGACCTAAAAGTAAACAAGAACTTTTGCACTTTATTACTCGAAAACAAAGTGGGGAACTTTATGTACAGTTCCCAGATTTTTTGTTGCAGATATTTACAAATCTTTATTAATAATAATGCAGCGTGTAAATATAGGAAAGCCCAATCCAGAGACACAAAAGAAAATATATATTATTATTCAGACAGCTGCGCTTTACTTTCAAGAAACCATGTATAAGTCCGGAGAGAATTGCCCGCTATTTTGTTACATTCTTCGCGGAAACTGCATTTTAACATATTTTTTTCACCCATTGTCATGACATTCTATCGAACATACAGTATGTGTCCATAAGTTGAAACTATATGGCAAACTTTTTTAGAATTATCTTTTTAAATAGAGTTATTCTTCATAAAAATTTTGCATGCTCTAAAACGTAACAGCAACTTTCAGATATCAATGTTTTTCTGGCGTATGCCAGGTTGGGTAAAATATTAATTTTGCCTTACCGTTATTTTCCACAATATCGAAAACCTTTTCTATAGCATTAATCAATTATGAATTATTTTAGTAGATTTCATATCCCACAGTTAAATTTGCATTATTATAGTTTCAAAAAATTAAAAAGATTTTTTTATTGCGAATAGATGTAATTGCATATCTAAATGTAGTTTTTAGTTATGATCAACATTTTTCCTTCATATTTCTTCTTATAAAATTTAACATTTGATAGTTTCTTTAGTTTGGACCACGCAGAAATGTTTTTAAATAATAATTTTTTTCTTAAATATTATAATAGAAAGTTTTCGATGTAGTTTCAACTTACAGAGACATACTGTATATCTATACAAAATCAGATTTAACGAAATCAAACTTCTTTTTAAAGGGGCTAATCCTTTTAATCGCCAAAGTTTCCTAAAAGCCCTCTGAGACTTAGAAGTTTTTAAAAGTAAAGCTTTATGCAGTTAGTAACTCCTTAAAACCCCTTTCAATGGGTTTGAAATAGTTTATCAAAGAGTCCGATAAATCCAAGGCATGTTAAATTTGGCATTGAAGTGGATTACTTTATAGTAGAAGAAATGAATGTGAAGAAAACCTTAGTGCACAATGTGCGATAAACTGGAATAAATCTTTAATAAAACCGAGAATTATTACGATTAGCTAGACAATGTAATTTGGAATATCGAATGTGCAAAATTATAAATTGCAAGCCGCAAACAAATGTGGAATTGCAAGGATTAGTTAAATAAACGTTTGGAATTTCGCATTTCAGTAGACATTATTAACTTTTATTTGTTTTGTTTAGTTACATTAATTAGCTAGTCTTGCTGCGCATCAGAAATACCGGTTTTTTTCATATTTTTTTTAGACAGTGGTGTCGCGTATGCTTATGCATATAGTACATGCAATAATCAAAGGAAATTGAGTTAAAAATAATCGGCGTGAATATCCATTGTCTTAATAGATCCATTTAATATTTAAAGCTTTGTTCAAGTGAATAACACTTTTTTCATCTGGACATTGAACAGTGAAATGAATGGGATATTTCTCGCCATAAAATAGACTAATAATACAGAATACAGAGAAAAGCAATTGGGAGATATGGTAGTGCTATGTTATTGCCAACTGACAGTGAGTCTATGAAAAATGTATTTGTTAGTACGCGCAAATCGCGAGAAAAAATGCCCAGATTATCAATAATAAATCACAGATTACCCGACAACAAATCGGTTCATTGTTTTGTTCAGTTATTGTATTGTTCGACAGCTTAAAATGGTTCGTACTACTTGTGCCAACACGATTAAATAGTAGTTGTTTGTAAGTGGATTGCTGTTTCCAGACATTTAATCTATTCACACAGCCGAATTAGCCAAAAGGGCAGAAATTCCCTTCCCACCTGCATAGAGGCAGGCTAAAAGAACATATAAAATACATTATTTCTGCTCTATTTATGCTATGACACATAATCAAACTGAAAATATGAAACAAACCGTTACAGAGCGAGTGTAAAGAGTAAGTGCATATTGTACATTGTCATTAATTTTGGGGCCACATTAATTCAAATCTTTTGTGTCTTCACTTCAGTCGTAGACGCCAACACTCTGCAATTTCATTACAAGGTACTGAAAGATAGCTGGCTTGCGATTTACAACAATATATTAATCAAATTTATTTTGTAATTCAGTTGCTTCGTTAAAAGCAAATCCCGGCTTTCGCGGATTCTTATAAGGAAATTAACAACTATTGCACACCCAAACAATATGGCACTGTGTAATGCAATGTTGAATTATCGTTTATTGGTTTTAATTAAGTCAATATAATGATCGTTTAATTCGAATGAGAGGATTGAATTCCAATTGGAGTATATTAGGAAACCTCCTACTACACCGTGTAGTATTCTAGTGGGTTGTTTAAAAAACATAGAAATGTGCAAATTTGCAGCATTTTCTATATCTAGTTTTCTTGGTTTTTCATCTAAACACTAATGACTCATTTTTCTACACTATTCCAGAGAGTTGTTTATTCGTTTGCAATGAGTATCAATGTGTTTTCTATTCAAATTCAATTTGTGGTTGATAGTCTATTTAACATTTTGTGGAAAATCCGGCCAAAAAATGTATTCGGATTATCTTTGCAATCAAAACATGAATATCGGCGGTGAATTTTGGCTTTTGCAGCAATTATTGAGATTTAATGATCAACTGTACAGAAATTTCACCCATATATTTACAGCGACTCGATTAATCATCGAATTAGTAATCTTTGACTTTGCAATTAAATAGAACTAATACCATGTCTAATGAACTTATAACTTCGGCTGACATTCAAGCTATATTTATGTGCGAAATTAATAAACTGTCATAATAAATGAAGAAGCAATTACTATTAAAGTTAGTAGGGAAGCAGAAACATGCCATTTGTTGATTAATTGATGATGATCATTATTGAGAAAATCATGTGGGAATGAGGTTTACGACAGCCAGGAAAAGATGATCAGTTCCTTGGAAAAACGAGTATTTTCTATTTGAATTAGAAGTTGATGATAAAAATCAAAAAAGTTTTGGATTAGAAACTTGTATTCAATGGTCAACAATCAGCAATTTCAAAGCAAAACCACCAAACTGGACAAAAATCGCATAAAACGGCACTGCCAAAAGCTCTGGCTTTGGATTGACTTTCAAGTACATTTGCATAAAATTTAGCAGCAAAGACGACAGATTTATTCGCCTGAATGGCTGACAATAACTGTTTCCATGCCTTGCCATTTCGTATGCACGAGTTCGTTTTATTATTTCCAATCTAAGGTTTCTGGATTTAAGCACAATTACATCTGCTACCGTAAATTGGGGTAAAAATAGGGTTGATAATAGACGACTGTTTAAATTTCTTTTAATGATCGAACTAAACGAAATATTAATATAAATTGCTCGTGTTCGCTGGATCAAAGGACCAAAAATATCGCACTAGTGTCTTTTTAATCAAGTGGAAACACAGTGGATGAGACAAAACATCTTAGATTGGTCTTCGAAAATTAATTCTAGATCGCGTGCCTGTTACGATTCCTGAATAAATTTGATTTCATGTAGCGGCTAATTGAATGATTATTGTTCCAGATTGGCTTGATTTGCCAAAAAATGGCATAGCAATTCGGATTTCGCTTTCGGTAAGTTTACAACTTCCTCTATCTAAAAGCTTAGAATTTTTCGACTACCCAACTGCCTACTTAGAGGATTTTAATGCTTCAACATTTAAAATATCGCTTGAGATTTATTGGGCACCACGCATCATGCGATAAATGTTTCTAGTTTAAATCTTACAAGTTGTTGGATTGAATTGATGGAAGCTGATGATCTGTTGTTACCAAATGGAACAGAAACACATTTGCGAATTAGAACTGCGCAAAAAAACACTGCTAAACTAATTTTTTGAAATCACTTCACTCACCCATGAACAAGTAACATAAACCAACTGCCAGACTGTTGTTGATAAACCAATCACAAAATTGCATACACCAAACACAACATCCGATTCGCAACTGATCGATAATTGAGATCGAAAACACTATTTCGAAATAAGCGGGGAATCTATGAATGAACCAGCTTGATGAGTGTGATTAGGGTGAGTACCTTTCTCAATCTACCCGTCGCTCTGTCTTGTTCTTGGGTGGGAGTAGTACCGGGACTGCTAAACGCTACCGACTAACAGCTTAGCGTCTTCTGGTACGAAAAATCCTCGTACCGGCGACTTTCGAGCAGCACAGTCTTGGTGCATATTGTGCGATTCAAAATCTTCATCACACCTATCCAGATGCAGATCACGCTCTCCAAATTTTCGCGGCCTCAGACTTGCCCGCAGATTTTTTACTCCAACATCGGCACACAAAATCATCTAAACGGTATCGACATTCATAGCATGACCAAAATCGCCTTTGGACTAACCCTTTTTAAAAATGCGATTTTTTATCTGATAACTTCCGCTTAATCCCATCTAGGAGAGGCGTAGAAATGTCTAATATTGTGGCTAATCAGCTCAGGCTTCTTGGAAGATTCGCACAGCATCGAAAAGTTTGTGATGTTTTAAAGTTTGTAAATAAGTCCAAATATTGTATTTGCGGTTCTTTAAGAGCTTAACGTTTGTTAACTAAACACAGTTTGCTTCACTTGCAACCAACCAGAGGTTCGCGTTAAGAAAATCTGTCGAACCACAGCAATTCGTGTTTTTTACAAAAATTTAAAAAAGCAACTGCTTTTAATCTTGCCGACGATTTACATATCGCGTCACAGTCGACATATTTTCAGGGCAACTGATTAGCAAAAATAGTCTTAAATTACATATTAAAATGTTGCCAATAAGCGCAACTGCTTTTGGTACTGAAACATCTATCTGCTGAGCGGAAAAATGTATTTGATCAGAACCGAGCTGAAAACGCTCTCCTGCCAAAAACTCAATTTACAGTGTAAGGATTAAGTGAAACTTTTGTCATATCTGAAGATTCTGGTCCTCGCGCTATCTAACACAATCTACCACTAAAATATTAAACAAAAATAGAAGACAAAGTGAGCTTCTAAGTTATGAAGCCTTAAAAAATTAAGCACTTGGAAGCAACTGAAGTTTATTTGGCAAAAATCACGTGAAACTTTGTCAAAGTCTATGGTTAATAGGAAATCTTCTACCTCCTCTAAACTAACCTCCTAAAAACTAGAATAGGAATTGCATACAATTCTTAGTGCATCTTCGGTAGACGATTCATTCTGAACCAATGAGAAAAAAGATATCACCGCCAAATTAAAAAGCGAATAATTGCCTGAATACAACCGTGAATTCTGACGGCATTTGCACTTCACATTGAAAGAGAAAAAGTGCTATCAAGGCTAATTTGCTAATATTTGTATTATGGTCTAATCTAGCTTAAATATGTAATGGTAATATCGCAAATGGCTTTTTAATGCATCGAATTTCAGTTGAATCTAAATCTCCGTGAAGAAATTAACGAATGTGCGCATCTAGGAATAGTGCAGCCTGTCGAATGCTTCAGAGCATGAGAAACAACAGTTAAAGTAACAATTATGTTTCAGTCAGTACTATCTAGACTCAGACTATCTTGTCCAAAATAATTAAAAACTCATTAGTACTTCCTGTCCACCTAAATCCAATCGGAGCCGTCTGATGCTGAGACAAGTTTTAGTAATAAGGAAAGTGAGCCTACTAAACATTGTTTCGTGTAACATGCATTTACTGGATGTCCATCAGGACCGGACCAGGTCAAGTAGGGCACAATTTCCTTTTCATTATTGATATTCCGCCCTCACTTTTGCTATAGTCGCAAATGGGAGTGCAATGTTTAAACAATACTTTAAACCGTGTTTACTTTACCTAGATATTTCGCTCATCTGTTGTCTTTAAAATATTGCGTTAGCATGGCTAGAAACAGCGAAGCTGATATTTGATTTTCGACCGTCTAACGCGAAAAATCGATTACGAAATGACAAGAATTTAATGTTCCATAAAAATCTTCATGCACTCTAATGCACCATCTGTCACTGTGTTTTGCATAATGTAATCATGTTGAAGATATGACCTATGCTGAAGTGAACTTAAACTTTACCAAGACGCAATGAACAGGAGGTGACAAAAAGCTTTTACATCACTATTTGTTTAAATGTACCTAGTTAAACGAATAGAGGACTCTTTCAAGTTTCATTGTGATTCATTTGTTTATCAGCTTTAATTTATGCGCTATAGCATAAGAACAACGCAAGAAAGTCGAAGTAATCGCAATTATAATATGAAACGAATTTGCTAATACGTCACAAGTATTTAAAAGGCAACTGCTAAACGAAAATAGTTACTTGCGTTGAAAAGATCCACTGTAATGAACAGCAGAAGTATATAAATAATTTACTATCGATCATATATTTAGAAACGGACATTTGGATTGATTTGGCACGCTTAAAGTCTCATCTTCTGATTTCAGGCGTGATCTAAGAATCTTACCACAAAGTGGGAAATTTTTATCGGCGGCTCCTGGAATAAAAATATTCACTTAAAAAATTCCCTTATTTTCATTGCATTATTTACAAATTCCTTGCTAAAGTTAAGAATTAAAAATTGGGATAAAACTTATCAAGTCAATATGTTATTTTTAAAATATATAAAATTTTTAGTTTTTATTCTGTAAATTCTGTGTACAAAGCGTTTTTTTAAGTGGAACACCTTGCACATTATTTATTTGTTCTAGTTGATAACTAAAGCCGCTTGAACACGAGTTCATGGTAAGAAGGGTTACATGGGTTTGGCTGGTTTCATTATTGCAACAAAGTCCCCCATGTGTTCCCTAAAAGTCTTCAATTGCAATATGACGAAAACTTGATGTTATTTTGCGGCTTAGATCAATACTTATATCCAGGCATTTAACAGTTTTATTTTACACCCGATGACTCCATCCTTAAGTTCGTACTTGTGTCCTTCCTAGCACAATGCTGGGAAAGAATAATGTCTTCCTTTATGGGGTTGTGATAAGAATAACTTTCGAGGATGCAGCCAGATCCGGCCTAAGAAGTTAAAGAACAGATTAAAAGATAATGACGGCTTTCTCAGTTCTACACCTGAAATTTATTGCGGGTTATTCACATATTTCATTCGAGTCGCTTTTTGAATTCAAGTGGAGTTTTCCTTCAAAAAAAGCATCATGCATTAGCAGACGGTTTCGGATGGATCATGTTGCTGGAAAAGTCTAGTGAAAACTGAAAAAACAAACTAAAATGAACGCGTGGCAATTTGCAAGTGCATTTATTAATTAGCAAATCCAAAACCGTAATATTGGAGAGGATTTAGCAGATACATTAAATCTGCCGAAATTGTGCTGACTGAGCGATCCATCAACATTCGATAAGTTCCAAATTTCAATTTGCGCCTGGAGTGATGCATTTAAGACAAATAGGGGTGTAAGCGTTTCCTCGATATTTTGGAGCTAATTAATCAACATAGAGTAGCTGCTCTATCCTATTAAGTAATAAACGGAATTTAATATTTGGCGAAATCTATGCAAATGATCTGCGATTTTCACCCGAATAAAATTTAATTTTGAGCCACGAACCGCATAAGAACAGCCGCTTTACTAAATAATAATGTTTCAATAGGTTTCCAATCATTAAAGGCCGATCCTGGAGCAGAAAGTAGAAATTCGGAACCTCATCAGTATGGTTAGTCGCTAGAATTTTTTGAAACGTGTGAAAAGAAATATTAAGTTTATACCTACGGGATATAGATGCACACGAACCATTCTCGTATCGGATATTAAATCAAGAGATTTGGCAAGTTCATGGACACCAAATGCGGGAAATTCTTACGGCAATCGACTGCTAGAAAAATGCTGCAGTAAAATACAGCTCTGGATACCAAAGCGTAGAACATGAGACAAGTTGGAATTGTTTTTTATTTGATACATCAATTACTTAGCGTTTTTCCGATTGGGTGCTAATCAAGCACATGTGGGTCTGGAAATGTACTTGATGAGTTGCTCTGAATTTCCTTAATAAACAGTAAATTTACTTAATAAACAGTGCTAATGCATTGTAACAATGCATTAGCACACTTAAATCAGCAATCAACCTTTTAGAGGCAAGTCTAACGAAATCATCTAATACTTGTAATTCACGATGTTAACAGCAAATTGTTTGTTCCATTTAAGCTGCATTATCACGCAGTTGTTAAAAAATACGATTTTTCCATCAGCATAATTGTTTTTATAAAAAAACACCTGTAGCTTAAGCATTTAAAATATAAAGAAAAAAATACCAGTGCGTATTTGACGATTCCAAAGAAATGTAATATAGATGGCATACCGAAAATTATAATTAACTGCGGTAGTAATAATTCCGGAATGTCACAATTATTTAAAATCTGCTTCAATAGAAAAATAATTTTCCATTCAAGGTAAAAAATGTTGTTTCAAAAATTGAAAGCTTGGACGAACATTTTCATTCGGAGCCATTTGAACACTGAAACTTAAGCACCGAAACTAACTCAGCAATTTGCGTGGATTGATCATCGAAATTAGTTTTTCGCGGGACATAAAGCAGCAGAAGATAATTAACTGAGCGCGTGTAAAAGTTGCTCTGTTGAACATCTTTGCAAACAATGTTGTAGTCAACTTAAGATTAACATCGCACGGGTTTGGATCCAATATTTTACACAAAGGGGAGTAGCAAGTTCACCCTCGTGTCAATGGAGACATAGGTTTCTAATCAAATGTTAAGGAGATGCTAATTATTATATCTTTGAGGCTCTTGAACGAGAAAGTTTTGGCTTCGTAACAAGAATGCGTGTATGTATACTTTTTAATTTTTTTACCATAACTTATTGGCTTATTTATAAAAAAAAAACCCTCTTAAGCCACCAAAATTGGTTCTCATCATAATTTTTCCGATCCCTGATTGAAATGTAGTCTGGTGAGCAAACAGGTGCCTGGCTACTAAATTGGAACGCGGATTATATGCAGAATCTGTATTTGGTCAGACCCCTTTGCTTGTATGATGTGTCGTGTGCAGATTACAAGATTAGATGAGATATAAACTGCTACAAACAGCCAGGAAGTAGATATCGCTCTGCTCCAAACCCTAGACAAAATGTCAGGTAAACGAAGGGCGGAAGCCAGTGCCGTTCGTAGTTAATAATTTCCCACAAAAAACTTCCGCCACAAAAACCAATTTACATTTGAAAATCACTTTTTGAACTTGGCCCAATAAATGCTGAGGTCTTCATTTTTTCCATTAATCTTCGATGTTTGCGATAGAAAAGCACTGAAATCTATGCTCTTCCGTCCCAAAAAAAACGGTATAAATAATTGAACATTTCATAAGTTTGCTTTGTTTTTCAACGATTATTTGGCATGTTCGAAGAAAACTCAGAGTGTAACTGGGACGGATCTAAAAGTTGCGGAAACAGGAAACGAACCTTCACCCACAAACGCCGGTCGAAGCTTGTTTGCCTCAAGTCTTGGGTGTCTTTGCGGCATTAATAATTACTATTCCGTACCTTTAGGGTAACCACAGGGTCGGCTTTAATTTAAAATCAGTCTCATGTTAAAAACAGGAACCGACAGATGGTGATATCCTGCACCAAACCATTTGCCGGGTTTATACTCAAAACGTATATTTTAACCAATTTTTTAACAAAAAACAATTGCAAAATCCCCCATTAAACAGTGCTCAAGGAGCTCAATTGTGCGCTCAATGTGTGCTTTTATACACTCAATTATGGCCTTAATGGGTATATCGAGTACGTTTCATTCTATCATTCAGCTAACAACAAAACGCTTTTCCCATAATGAATAGATACTCCTATTCAATGGGCTATTTGTAATTAGCTGGAAACAATTAACGCAGATATACAGAATGGATAAATGAAAGCAAACACGCGGTAATTGAGACTTACAATTCATTAACTGGAATGCATCCATAAGGTCTTAGTAATTTATTGATAAACTGTTTACGTACCAGATTGGGAATGATATAATACCAATGATGATTTCATTGAAGCATTGTCCAATATCATTTTTCTGTGGATATCAGGAGTTTGAAGTGGAGTAAAAAAACACATTTAAATACTTATAGTAATATGTATAATAATGCATCTATATGTATATAAACAAAAACATGTTTGCACTGATATGGCGCGAAATATTGCTTATTTTCCAATTTTGATCTTCAAACGTAAAACTGCGTCTTAATTTATAAAAAATATATAAAGTATACTAAATAGATACCATAGCCGGCGGGTCAAATTTGGAAAAATTCGATTTTCGAACTTCTAATTAATCAATATAAAGCAATCAATGAGTATAAAGCATGGTAAAATTTCAATTTTCTAACTTGCATCTAAACTTTGTAGATTAATTTGACAACGTAACAGTTCCAACCGGAATCGTATATATGCCTAGATTTTACACGTTATGATAAAAACATGAATATCTGCTGCAACTTTAAACCATTATATAGGAATTTTTAACAGCAATAACATTTAATTAACAATGATTGATTCAGACTACTCGGTTTGTCTCTGAACTTGTCAACCCGAACTCAAGCACTGGATCAAATACGCCCGCTTTGAGCAGGGCTGGATTAAGGCTTTCCGAGGCCCGGGCGTAAAGAGAATAAGGGTCAGACTTAAAGACAGTCAAATATGATCATTTTTTCAATATTCCGAGTTCGCGGGCCCACTCAATATTGTGAACGTCTTCGTTAATTGGCCCCTAGTTTTCAGGGGTTCATCCAGTCAACAAGCAAAAAAACATGACCGAGCAGCCAGCGACTTACAAATATGCCCATGCCCACATTCCCAAAGAAGACACCAAGGAGCTCTACAAAGCCTACACGATCCATGAAAAAAATCGTTCAGTTTTCAATTTTAAAGGACATCATTTCCAGTCAGTCAGCGTCTGAATGCTCAAGTTCAAACTGTGAACCTTAGACTATTTTATGTGCATTCAGAAGCTGCGAGACATCACGTTTGTTCTCACCTCACAAGAAATGAATTTATTTTTTATTTACACTTACATGGGTGATTCATGTAGAAGCGGCACGGAGCAGACGAGTTTAAAATAATTAAAATTTGCTTAAACATGTTCACAAAAACACCAGTTATAATACACAATCCTGCTCCATGTATGAATTTGCTAATCACCCCTACATACTCTTAAATACTAATCTACACTTATTTGAAATTTAACCCTCCAAGACACGGATATCATGCAATTATACTATAGCCTATCAGTTGCTATATAAGCCGGACTGAATCGTAAAAATAATTAAACATATAAGAAGATAAGAAGTTTTTGAAATAACAATAAGCAGTAAATACAAATAGTCTTCCTTCAGAGAACGACTTACTAATCGAATGATCGATAACACAATATGTGAATTAAATAAAAGTGTACAATATATAATTTTATCAGATAAGTTATTGGAAAATAAAAAAATAAATATCGACAAAATACTTAAAAAGAATAACAGCCAATGTATATTCACAGATAGAGGCAAGAGAATACGAATGGGTAGGCAATATTGATATAAACGCTTATTAAATTCGTAAGCTGTTTTTTCTAACATCGCAACACTTACTAAAGCTTGCCTGTAAAAACAGGCAATTCTGCTAATTTTGTCGCGTTGTACCTCTGCTCCAACATTATATCTACATTAAGGATAATTTACCGAAATTAAAATATGTCTGGATCTTATTAGGAATCCTAAAAACATTTTTAAACGCGCAATAATAAGGCGGAAACTCCTTCGCCACGTAAATAAAATACGTTGCTAAATACTGAATATCAATCACAATGTGGAACTGGAATGACTGGAATCTTGCATTCGAAATATTCCCCCTAAAACCACATTCTACCGGTGGTGCTAAAGCTCACTACGACCCAAAGTGCTGCAGCTCTTCTAACGATATGATAATTAATCTACTACACATTTTCTATCACATTAAATAACCAAACGTAAAACATAACTTTTTGCCAACCAATTACTTTTTTAAATACCAGAGCTTTATGGGACCTTTAACCGATACTGCTATAGCTTGTATCCAGAGCTCATAGAGAAATAAAGTAGCCATCAGAACCAAGAGAAGTTTGTATACGAATTTAGTGATCTCGGTGTGAAAGGGCAGATTGAAAAAGTAATTCAGATCGTGATAGAATGTCGCAAGAAACTATTGACGAGGTCGCGCAGGTAGTGGAGGTGGAGGAGCGGATCTTGCTGGAACCGGAGGAGGTCGACCCGGCGTTGCTGGTATGGAAGGTTCCGCTCGAGGTGGAGGTGGCGGCGGACCTATTTATATAGCATCATTTTACAGTCAATAAAAAAAGGTGATTTGTGAGAAAGGGGCATTAGTTGGCTGTACCAACTAACCATCCATTCCACGGCACTTCTTTTAATGAAAAACATGGTAGACAATGTTGAGGTTGAATGGTTTAGTCGCACTTCCGTTGCCTTTCAACGCCGTTTTTTATCAGATTTCCGTTGGTGGTATCTCGGAAAATGGTTCAAATAGTCCCCGTTTCTCATAAAACACTTTCCCCGATAACAATTAATTTCATGATACGAGGGTCGTTTGATAAGTCAGTGAGTTTTTGAATTCAACACTACTTCCGTTAACTCGTCGTCTGTTAGTAGACTGCTGGGAAGTTTTCAGCGCGCTACGTGACTTAGTTCGGGAATTTCAACAAAAAATGGAAACATTTAATTTCGAGTGCTGATCAAGCATTATTTTTTACGGAAAAAGTCCAACGCCGAAAAAAGTGGATATTTCATTCAAAAACTCTGACTTATCAAACGACCCTCGTATCTCAGCAATTTTTTCGAGCGTAGAGTAAATGGTTCAAATAGTGGCCGTGCCCCCCAAACACTTGCCTCGATCACAATTAATTTCATGATACATACCTTGTGGTTCTGGAATAGTGATATTCACATCATCGGTGATTTCTTCGTAAATCCCAACATCTTGGTCCAATGAGGGCATTGAAGGAAGGTCAGGAGGCGGAATATCTGGAGGTGCAGTTGAAGGAACCGCCCCATTAGAAGAACCAGATGCACAGGAAGGCAGGCCTGAACAAATTGTAGGAACTAGAATAGGTGACGCATGTGATGGTGGAGGTGGCGCGGGCTTTACAGGAATGCTTATTACTCCAGCCCTCGGTTGGGGCTTCTTGGTGGGAGAAGGAGTGGGATTGGATTTCATAGAAGGTGGAGGCGGGCGGCTGGGTGGTAAAGGACGAGCAGGCGGTAGCATTTTCTGTTGAACCTCAGGAATACCTAAGCCTGTAAAATATACGTGGCGCTATTTTAAGACATTTTATCTTCTCAGGAAATACATACAGTTATAATCAGACTGACTGGGAGAAGAGTATAGCGGGATTGTGTTACTTGAACAAAACCCGATCTCATCTTTGGCTTTTTCGACCCAATCTGGAGTTTTCAGGGACAACGTAAGGTCATAATCCTGGATCTAGAGAAGAGAAAGTAAACATACATTTTCTCAAGCTTGAAACTAAGAATCGTACTCTTAATGTGCCATTTGTTTTCCGCATTGCTTCCAAAACCGACTGTCCATCTCTGAACGTGATCCACATTTTGTCCCCGACAAATCTTACTAAAATCGTTTCCCCAAACTGTGCAAACTCTTCCAAGAGGATGAGAACCATATGTTCGTCGAAAATGCAACCGTCATCTTCATCGGAAACATCTAAATAAAAAATAACACATTTTCTAGCAATACTAGCTGATTCTGAAGCTTACAGTACATTAATCGCAAACCTAGAAATCTTGGAAGATGGATTAATCTTTCCTGCAAACCCCGATTGATGTTAAATGCACTAACTGCTAAAACTAACCTTCGCAATGAACGATAAGTGTCGAATCAGGAGGCCCCATGTCTTTTATGACTTCATAAAAAACATCTTGCCTCTTGTTCAAATTCAGAATTCGACATTCGATATCCACAATGGCTATAACGGGCCTATGATCACTCTGCTTCAGCTCAGCCCTGCCATAATGAATTAAGTTACCGGCAGTCCAATGGTCAGCACACCCATTTATTTCGGGGGAATGTTTTCGTCTTTTCCATAAAATTCTGTCGGTCCAGGCTGGCGCGCGACATTTTTCACTAGTATCATAGTCATCACTGAAGAGATCGTACTTGTAAGTGGGCGGAAAAGTAATTTTTCCTTCGATGAAGTTCTTGAATACGTTGCCCTCCAACTGTTGTTTCTATTAAAATTTACAACCAATTAAAACACAAAGTCTAAGATAGAAAATAAATAACGCACTCTTAATTGATCGTTCTCTAGTACAGCGTCATAGTTCCCTTGTTTAATTAGTTCCTTGATTTCATCTTTATCCATGTCCACTCTGTAGTTAAAATCGCCACACCAGAACAAATATTCATGGGAATTCAAAGAACGGCTCTAAAATGCTAGAGCTTATTACAACATTTTCACAAAGTACCCGACAATCGTACCATTGGAAATCCAATTTTCCTTGTAATTTCATTATAATCCGCGTTTCGTTCATTCACTTGCGACTGACCTGCCGCAAAGTGAGCACATACAAAACACAGTGAAGTAGCATGGAACACCAGACGAATAGCCGCTGCTCCTTTGTTCCCTGCATTTAACAAACATTTCTAGCTGAAGGTGTTTCAAATAATAATCCTTTACCTGTATGACCACCTAGTCCAGTTTTCACCGAATCAATCCCCACGTCTTTAATATAGGGAACATGTTCAGGCCGGACAAAGACATACAAACAGACTCCAACCAGTTGCTGATAAGTAACCAAAACGTATGGACAATCCCTGGACAGGACTTTCTGAAGTTCTACAGCCCATGCCTTTGCATTGTCACTACTGGAATTCATAATATTCGCTGCATTCAAATCCACGATTTCCTCAAATCCAATTGCGTAAATATCTACCGGCGTCATTCGATTCACGTCAGAATGACTGGTATCAACCAAGTTCTGATTGTTCTTGTGATTATCCAAAAGCCAGTCGGATAATTTGATGTCCTTAAAGACCAAACTACGGAAATGCTTTCCTCCGTTAACGTTGTAAGTTCCCACAGCCACTCTTACTGGTAATGCTTCAGTATATTCAGTGTATCGTTTACACATTTCTCTCAAAACATGAGGAGGAGCATGGAGTGTGTTGTACGGTAATAAATGTCTAGCCCGATCGGCTAGTTCGGTGGATAAAGTTGAACCGAGCAAAAATATATCTATAGCTTCCTGCTTAGAGCTGTCCAAGAGGTTGTTTTGGATTGTTCTCGCGGCCGATCTTGCTCCGTCCATTATCTACATAAAAAATACGTTTCTTTGACGCACACAAGCTAAATTGTTATCTCATATATAAGCAACGTGTTTTATAAAAAAATGTTTCTGCAAAACTCGATCATATCAGACGTTCAAAAAAGTTCATATTTACTTTTGACCCGCCTTGAATGGCTCCAGTTCCCGCATATATTTTACTAATCTCATTCCCGTTGTTGATCCACATCTGCCGAAAAACTTCCTCAAATCTAGATATTGTAATTTTCTTATCCACCATTTGCATAACTTGCAACTGTGTGGTGAGTATCTGGGAAGAAATTGACGATTTATAACTAAGGCGCTAAAAATGTTTTGCCAAATTCCCACCTCCAAGCCAAAGAATGTCTGAACGCAATTTGTTCTATCCAGACAATCCAGACAATTTGTTCGAATCGTTCCAGTCTGCAAGCTATAAATCGCGTTTCCATCCGCATGGAAATAGGAAAAATCCTGAAGCTGCTGTTCAACTTTGCTTCTTAGTTTTTGCAAGTTTGCTTGGTTTCCACCGCGAATTTCTTGATGATAATCGAACACTACATGGGGAATGTCGTTGAAGGCGGATTCTTTATGGTGTTTCTAGAACAGATGCAATTGTTACAAGCGATGTTTTGATCTGGTTAGCTGCCAGTTGCAACCAACCTGAAACTCCTGGCTTAAGGTGGCTTCGCCTTCCTTGCTTCCAATTAGGCTAGTGCCAAGCAAATTCACTATAACTTGTTTCCCGTAACGCTCTTTTATCATGGACATGTGTCGATCAAATGCAGATTTCGATGCTTCATATCCCCGGGATATCCTCACTTTGTGAGATCCCACCTTAAGAAGAAAAAGTTGCACAATGCTATTTATTAACTGTGATCAATTGGGTAATTACTTGCACGCCCGGTTGCTCCCAAAACAACGGAACAGAGCCTCTGGTCTGGATGTATGAAGAGACTTCATTATCTAAATAAATGACTTGTTCTGTCTCCACAAAATTCGCTACATGGCCTTCATCATTTGTACCACGCACATTAAATCTGAAATAATCAGATAACTGAAACAAGCTTGTTCATCGTTGGTATTTACAACTAACCGCGTTCCGGCTCTTTCGCAACTCAGTCTTGAAATCACAGCAGCAAACGCTTTCTTTGGACCTGCATAAACCGTTCGGATTTCTACTGACCCGCACATGGCTTTTAATAGCCAACTATTGCAATCAACTCCAAATCTGACTAGATGAACATGCAACATACGATTCCTAGCCAAAAACACTTATGTAAAAATCCAGTAAAATGTAAGTGCTTTAAATATTACCAGAAAAATCTGTGATCTGTTGCAGCAGTTTTTGTTCTACGTTGGGCGCATAAAGTGAGATCTAATGGAATGCCCCCTGCAGAGCCAGAGTACCAGGAGAAATAGAAGGTTCCAGAGTTTAATAATTTTCGCACCTGGAATGTTTGACTTGGTTCAATTTTTTACTAACATTTTGTTGTTGTTTTATCTAATAAATATGAAAAGTCAGATAGTTGGGAGAATGTTTCGCTCATAATATGGATGTCCCAATATAAAAAGGCAGTAATGAAATAAAAAGGCAGTAAAAGCAAGGGTTTAAAAAATTCGTTAGGTATTGCAAGTGATTTTATTTATTGTATTCTATCACGGGATTTACACGATTTCACTTTTAAAAGGTTTGGAAAATTTGCTCCCGCCTTCCTAGCCATGTTGTCTTCCTAGAGTTGTCTTAACAAACTTAAATTGATAGACTGTCTGTGTAATAAAGTGCAGCAACAAATATTGGAATTTTTTTCTGGATCTATGCCGCAATGACGAACACATCAAAAAAATAATAACCAATTTAAAATCTGAATGTTCTACGAGAACGAGCATTTTTTCATGCCTAAAAGATGTTGCAAGGGAAAATATGAGAAAATAATTTGTGATATTGCTGGACGGACTACATTCAAAAGCTGATTTCAATATACATCTAGGTCAACAATTTCTTCAAGGGTTTTTTACGATAAGTTTTATTTAACTGAATTACGCATTTTGATTTGTTTTATTTTCGTTCGTTGTTGAATAGGAAATTCTCATTCAAAGCTTCTAAACTGTTTTACCTCTAATGAAATTAGTTTATTTAGACCTGTAAAACACTTGACCTGAAAACACCTACTAACAATTTTCCCATAAAACGGTAAAAATTATATTTTCTATGCATTTGTACTTTATTTGAATTGTAAAAAGTACTCAGATCAAATAAAATATGTAAGAAATCGCATTGCACCTACTTCCGATATTTTATCCTCATTCTGTGCATGATGCAGTGGCACAAATTGCGTTTGAGTAATTCGAAAAATTTCGGAATCGACTATTTTTCCAATGGAAAAACATCCAGTTACCATAACAAGGTACAGTAATGTAGATTCTCCAGAATAAAGCTGAAGGACTCCTAGACAGCCATATGCGTCTAGTATTTTTGTATACTGTTTCTTAACTACTTCGATTTCAAGAACAGCTAAAATAAGGGCCGATAAATATATCTCGAGAGTTTAAAAAGCTGAAGCTTATTAAAGTTTTCTTGACAAAATTCAATAAAACTAGATGCTAAGATCTGTATTAACTTACAAAGAACTGCTACTGCTTGGGACTCAAACAGTAGGGTTTCTTCTTTAGCTTTGTGCTCCAGAAGAACACTGTGGGGACTTGCTGGTATACTTTTTTCGAAAACTCGAAAAGCTTTGTGCATAGCCATGCTTAAGAGCTGATATTTCTCCTCACTGGAAGCGTATATTTGTTCTATTCACTCATTTCACTAAATTTAATATTATTATTTATTTATTTCGTTTTTGACACCCCTTAACTCAACCTCAAAACCAAGAAAATCGATTTTGACCTTTTTGACGCAGCGACAACATCGCAAAGCTTTGCTTACTTGTTTTTCTGGTTGTATACCTAAAAATAAAGTAGGATATAAGTATACATACAAATAAAAGTGTCCTACACGTTTAAAATACTGTCTAATGTCCATATATTTCGAAGTGTGCTGCATTATTTATGGCTTATGTGAATGGTTTAAGGGGTGAAAAGTGGAAAAATGCTATTCTCAGTTCAAATGCAGTTGATGAATATGAATCACTTATTTTTTATGTCTGGACTTGCAAAGGATTTTTTAAGTATCGGTGAATATGGACTTGAATACTTTAAATATTTGCCTGTTCTGTTTGCCAGCTTTAAAGGTGTAAATAATTTTTAATTTAATTTTATCGGTGCATGCGCCAGTGTGTACAATTACTAGTTGAGTTACCCACCGGAAGATGAGGTCATTTACAACAATTTTAAATTATTCTTTTATTTAATTTTTCGCATTTTTTTTATGGCGTCAAAATAAATATTTTAATCCTGGTTCACAACTGCTTTTTATAATTTATTTAAACGAATATACTGGCCTCACGTGCATTTAAATAGCTATCGCGGTAAAATAGTTAACGTGGTTAATTACTTTTCAAATGGAAAAGAAATTGCTTTATAATGATAGCCACATGACAAAAGTCGCAGAAAGCCCTTAATGGCTCTAATTATAGTTACGTAATATATTGACATCTAAGTCTTCCTCATTCCTCAACCTTAGTCTGCTCTACAGGTACAGGAAATCAAGAAAACTCAATTTGATTTTCTAATATTTATTTATAATATAGATGCTATAAACTTAATTAAATAGTCTACCGACAGAAAAATAAAGTCGACAATAAAACAAACTTGTCATCAAATAGTCAAGATTCCGACTCATTTTTCCGTCAACTGAATCGTTTGGATTTTAAATCACCTATAAAAAAAACGGAATTAAAATCCCAAAAAAAATGTTATTAAATCGTATCCAGAAATTATTAACAATGTTATCATTAAAACCGTGCTACAGCTTTCAAATGTTAAATATACCTCTGCAAATAGAAGAAATACCTTACCTAGAAGAAAAACCTTACGCATACTGTGAAATAGTTATCCAATTTTTCAATTTTTTTTGTTTATTATCGATTCAGAGAATTTATATTTCAGATAGAACCTAAAGAATTCGAGACGCTCTCTCGAAAAAGTTCTAATGATTATTCACAAGGTTTTAGGCTTTTTTGCGTTACAAAAAAACTTGGAGTGCCTATGAAAATTTCATATTTCTTCTAGCTTTTGAAAAGTTACACATTTCTAATAAATGAGAATCTGTATCGAAAAGGTCCTAATGAGTGTCCTTATTTCATAAAGCACAGGGATTTTTGATAAAGAAACTCGAGACACTATCAATAAAGTGCTAATGAATATTATGCGCATTTGAACCGTTTCCAAGTTCTAGAGCTTAGACACGCTGGTAAATGTTTTCAATTTTTGCTTCTCAGTTTTTATTTTATGGGTGAGAAATTTGCGATCAATTTCTTTGAGGTAATGGCAATTCTCGTTCTTTCTAAAATGTCCCATAATAATGAATATATTTTTCGTTCTCTCGCTTTAGAGGTTAAGAAGTTGGGAAAACCCCATGAACGAACCCTTGAGAGGATCAGTTAAAAAACTTCTATCGATTCTTCACATAATTCTCATTATTTCTTAGTTATACACAAAAATGTGTGTCAATTTTTGCGTCCATTTCTTTGCAGGTTTGAAATTTATCGCGTTATTCCTATTAGAAATAATGTCGCTCTCGAACAGCCCCATCAAAATTCTCCTTATAACTGACCAGCTATTGTGCACAATATCAAGCTGTGTTAAACTGCTTTTGTGTTTTCTTAATTTTGCTTCTCTCTCTTTAGAGGTTATACATTTTTGAAAAAACTTGACACTGTCGTGTTGATTTGCGTCATTCACCCACTGCTGGCTAAAATACGTCAACTAAGCCGACAGTCACGTCACTGTGACGTACCTGGGATTAAATTAGCAATTAACTTATGTTTTACGATGAGAATTAAAATTGTTTCCGGTTATTAGGTTGCAGGATAGTCACAATATAAAATGTTCCGGCCCGAAAGCATTAAAAGATTACATTTTCTTTTAATCTGACCATCGTGTCGTGAGTTTGGATTTATAAAACACAGCGCGTTCTAATGCTCAGATATTGTATAAATTGTTTTTCTAGGCATTAATTCTTTCTTTATGTTAGCATTTGTGACTCGACAGGTATAAAACCAGGTAAGGGGCACAAAGCAAGAAATCTATCTCGCGTCATGAATGCATTATTATTTTCTGGGATTTATTTTGTCTCTTCAGCTACTTGGAGTCACCTTTATTTGAAAGTACCGGAGTTGTACGAAGGTACGCGAATGAAAGCGTCACGTTAAAGGAACTGAACAGAAACAGACAATATTGAACTAGAGTAGAAATAGTCGGACTGAAGCGTAAAGCGGCAAACGCACAGTTCTTTGGCGTGTAAACGTGTTTGTTGTACGCAGAAAGTTCGGTGTTTTGTTTCTCCTCAAATTATGACTGAAAACCGGAACTAAGTGTTCAAATTTATGTTGGATATTGACTGAATAAACTCTCGTTTATTGTATGTGAAGTTTTCGTGACTTTCTAACAGTTCGTTGTCAACATTTTGAACTTTTCTATGCCTTAAGTGACTGGGGCATAATCTGTCTAATGCCTCAAACGATGATTTCAAGCACCAATTTACAGGTATATATTTACTGAATTATTCCAGTCAGGTATAATTTTATAATGCAAATAAAACCGTCTGCACCTTCATAACAATGCTTTGGCTGCTTTCATTTCTCTGCTTGAAAAGCAAAAGTTACTGCTGAGACTATAAATTTGTTTATATTTCAATTGCTAATTTTTATTCCTACGATTACTTAAGTACTTTTAGTTCTCCGATTCAGCATCATAAGTGCATACAATGCGCGATATTTATTACGTTGTTGATGATAAAGTGCAGCAGTTTTTTCACTCAAACCAATTAGCATTATATTAATTATACTTTAGATTACATGGAGATGCGTGTATTATTGTTATAGTGAACCGCCATCCCAGCATGCATTATTTTATTTAAAAACAACCTTCTGGTTAATGGGACGTATAAAGGTTTTAATTTTCAAAAATTTATTGCGCCAAACGCGTTTCATACAAATCACTCGGTAGGTAGTTCTGAATAGAAAAACTGATGTTTGACTACTTTCTTGCAGATTAGGAAACGGCGTTTACGCTCTGAGGCTTAGAAAAAAAACTTTTGTTAATTCTCAATTCAAAGCATTTGCCGGGAGAAGCTTTTTTAGTAGCTAAAGAACCGGGGTCGGGTCTTATTACCCGACACCAAAAACATGGAAGAACTGGAAAATTGATTTGGTCTAAAGAAAGTGTTGAAAAATCAAATGGCTTTGACATATTTGGCTGTTTTCCAACTTGAAATCAGTGCAGTTTTGTCGCGAGTTTGATACGTTTATTAAGCTGTTTTGAGAATAAATCAATTCACACTGAAAACCGTTTGGTGAAAATGATTACTTGATATTAAAAACATTCTGCATGAAGCTGATGGCAAGTTAATCAACTATCTTCCTTGGAAGCCGCATTCACGCTAAATGCTTTTGTCAATTTAAATAACTGTATTTCTCGGTTAACATTTCATTTACTAGTAATGAAAGAAGTTTATAAGCAAACGGTGTAAAAAGTGCAAATCTGGTCAAGCATTGAAATGCGATCTTTCATCACAGACAATTGCTCTTTGAAGGATATCATCGTTATAATGCGAGATACTATCCTGATTTGCTATTTTTACATGTTGACCGGAAGGAAATGATAAATTTACGTCCTTAGCCGATGCTCAATGCATTCTTTTAGCGTCTTCTAAATAGTTCGCTGTTACACAGCTTCCGGCAAATTTCATTAAACTTAACACAATCGCATGAAGCGGCTTGAAGATATGTGATATCAAACCTAAGAATGTTAATGAATCAAATTCATTCCTGGATTTCAGTCATTTATTGTCTCTATTTATCAATCAAAATACGTTTCGGTGTATTTTTCCACCATCATCAGTTTTTATGTGTAGCGTTGTTGCTGCTTTACGCCTTGGCATGCATTTTCTTTTTCTTTCCAGAAAATGCATGCCAATGCTTAAAGCAGCATCAACGCTACACATAAAAACTGATGATGGTGGAAAAATACACCGAAACGTATTTTGATTGATAAATACAGACAATAAATGACTGAAACCCAGGAATGAATTTGATTTGGAATTGAAACACAGTCAGGAAACTAACTCATTAATAAACTCACATCAACTCATTATGGTCTTGCGACTTGCTAAATCGTAAAACCTCACTGCATTTGATGCCTCAGGTGGCTCTGCCTGGTCCTTGTGACCAGGTTCTTTTGAAAGACGTTTAGGTAGAAAAACGGACTCAAAAGCTAACAATGCTAATCGGACCGCGTATTTCAGGGCTGGACTTAAATCGTTCTCTATCCCTGCTTAAGTTACCCGCTGTATTGCAACAAAAAAAATGAGCAAAATCTATGAGACCCCCAACCTGATTATGTATTCTCGAAATTTGAAAATCCTTTTTCGGAACAGCCTCCCGGCTTGTTGGCTGCTTTATATTAAAACAGACGCAGGCGTCTCTTAATTGATTAACTCCTACACATTTGCCGATTTAAATATGAAATAACACAATAAATGTTGATATAATTACATAGTCCCCGTCGTCCATTCATTCACTTATGGACTTCATTCATTGTGTTGGGAAATAGAGATCTCGCCGCGTGAAATGTAGTATCAAAGGCCATAATAACAATTGTGAGTAATTGGAGTTAATCACCGCATAGTGTCTTAATTACTTTGCCGAATTGTTATCTATTGACAAACCTTTTTTATTCGTATCCTATGTGACTAACCCAATTTTATAAGGCTTAGGCGATACTGTCGGCTTGATTATCTTCGGGAAAAAGGTGCAAATCTCCAGTCCCAGCTAGTTATACAGGGTGTCCCGTAAGCACATGGTCAAAAGGGTTCTGCGATATTCTTTGGATCAAAAGAAGACGATCTGACCTAACTTTTATTAACCAAAAATGTCTGGCTCCTCTGATATTGATGGTCAAAGTTCTTTAAAAAATTTATCTTTTTTGAAATATCGGGAGAATGGTACGATTTATTTCGGTGAAACTCGCTGTGAATTTGTTCTTATATAAGACTCATATTTTGATGAAGCAGTCGAGTTATCGAGTTCTATCGTTTTGGACAAGTGGTGAATTCTTGAGTGTCGTGGTACAAAGTCTACCAGAACTTTTTATTTGGTGGAGGAAATCAACTCATTTTTTTGGTTGATGCGCTAATAATTTATTCACAATTTTGTGCTCATTGTAAAATCTTGTTTTTCGTCTGTTTTCTTGCCACTTAACAATGTTAGACATTAACTGCAAATATGCGGCGCGTAAACGCGAACGCTTTCACGCAAGTTGTCTTCGGAAAACCCTAATACTTTGACCATGTCGGTCACTTCTTCATTAGAAAAGGTCATTCGAAACGAATTTGTGAGATTGATTGAGAATTAATTTATGCCTCCCATCACGATATTTGCAGAATTTTTTTTCCGTCAAAACTAAGAATGCTACAAGATTTTGCAAAGAGCACAAAATTGTGAATAAATGACTACTGTATCAACCAAAAAAAATGAGCTGATTTCCTCCATCAAATAAAAAGTTCTGGTAGTTTTTGTACCACGACACTCGAGAATTCACCACTTGTCCAAAACGGCTGAACTCGACTGTTTCATCAAAATATAAGTCGTACATAATTACAAATTCACAGCGAGTTTCACCGAAATAAATCGTACCATTCTCCCGATATTTCGAAAAAGATCATTTTTTTGAAGAACTTTGACCATCAATAGCAGATGAGCCAGACATTTTTTGTTAATAAAAGTTCGGTCAGATCGTCTTCTTTTGATGCAAAGAATATCGCAGTATCCTTTTGATCATGTGCTTACGGGACACCCTGTATAGGAAAATTATTTTCGCCTCTGGTAATACCTTAGGGGTGTGCCGTGCAGTAACAAAAGGCACGTGATGCACGTGGTAGATTGAACGATTTTGATTCCGCTGCAACTGCCATTTTCAAAATGGTCCCATTGGTATTTTTCGCCGGCATCATGAGGGTTGCGAACTTGGGATTAAAGCACAAATAGTCACGCTCAGCGAGCAAATTATACCTTTTAACACTGAAAAATACCTAAGCAGTATATTTAAAGATTGAATTTGATTCAACGTAAACTTGAAAAGATATAATACAAGACAAATGGACAGCAGAAATAAACAAATTTGTTGTTTTTCTGATGCTGATGTAGATATCTGCCTTTTTTCACTTTTCATTAAAACGTAAATAGATGATGCAGACTGATTTGGTAATAAATTGGGCAATAACGATAAACAAGCATCATTATTAATAATAATGAGTGTCGGTTCTTAATGGCGATCATTTCTAGCACATAAAAAGCTACGTGCGATAGCAATGCATTAAAACAAATAGTTGATTTCACCATTTACATCGAGTAAATAGTCATGTTTGGCCGACTTCCTTCCTGTCGATGAAAATTTATTTAAAGCTGATAGAAATAATTACTTAATGATTTGCAATGTTGAACTGCATTTTTATGGGGACACAAGGTCGGCAGAAGGAAGTCCCGGAACTCTCTTGAAGATAAAGTTAAATTTATATATTCTGCAGCTGAATGAGCCAGTAAGCTAGAATGATTACGGGTGTAAATCTCATTTAATGTCTTTTGGAATTCTGTTGTAAAAACTAATTGGAGCTACGTTTTTTCCTTTTGCCATGAAAATATCTCATTAGCCGCTACTGTTTAAGCAGTGCAATAAACAAATATCTCCTTTTGATCGGGTAAAATACGTTAGTCTATTATACCGAGTCAATAAACTCGAAAGCGGACCTAGTCCAGCGTTTTGTACTTGTGTAATACCATAATTAAATAACTGTACCAGTTTTTCTCGGTGTATTCACAATTTCTTCTCCATACCTTTATAGATTATCGTAAAATCGATTATTGATGAATATTCCATTATTAATGTAAATTAAAATTTACTCAAAAAACGGCACAATAACTTTTGATAACATCTAATTGTTTTCTTATTAATTCCATAGATTTGGAAATCGTTTTTATTATATTCGTCATGGTTTTCAATAATATTCCCCTTTTTCATCTCTCATTGTCAAGGTTTGACCTTTGCGAATCAGTTTCATTTAATTATATTTTTTATCCGGTCGTTAATTTTTTGCTATATTTTGATGTAAGTATTTCAATTATCTGCAAGAGGAAAGTCATTGAAACTGGTGAAAACAGAAAAAGATTTGCTATTCGCAAACACGAGTAACTTGCGAAACATCACGAAAAAAATATTTTTTTGCATCAGTAATTAATTAGTCGGCGTTCTAGCCTTAATCAGAAAAAAAGGAAAATAGCGTTTTTTTTTAAATAGAGTTACTTGTTCGAGCTTTTTTGCTCAGATTAATTGTAGGTATTCATTGGCAATGACATTATCTAATCGAGCTTTCATTGTTTTTCGCATGAACAAAGACCATTGAGAATTGGTTTTGCACACTAGCCGATAGGTGAATCATACAATGGAAATTTGGCTAGATTATTCTGCCAGCATTTTATCCACCACCTGAATGTACGAAAGATTTGATTAATCGAAGTCGCATTCAATAAATAACATTTTTTCAATCCGTGATTAATGCACACGGAGTTTTGCATATTTTACTATGCATTCCCTCAATTTTCAATAATAAATAATTGATTAACTGGTTTAGAAGTACGCTGTGTATATATCAACAGATAGTGGTTATTCGATACAAGCGAATCTTATTAACGCAATCTTGTTGATATATAAGCAATTTATATTATTACTAAGATTGATAGCGAAAGAATTAAAATGTTTTAAGCCGACTGTTTGATTAATATTACCATTTCCGCATAGAAAACACACATCATCATACTGGTTTATAAATACATTATGAGGGTGAAGCAAGCCTTATTTAGTTATGCACCCTTTTGTTAGTCATATGTCGTGATAGAAAACGTTTAGGGAGTAAATGCTGCTGAGTGGCACCATGAATATTGCAAAAATTAACCATTGCCGCCTTGGTGTCTCTCTTTTAGTCATGACATAGAGCAATGAGCTTAAATTTCACACAAGCCCATATGCGTATAACTTAATAAGCAATTTTACCTTTGATAACATTAGCAAGACGAAATCCATGTGGTGAACGAAGGAAACATGGCCATCTTCAGCACCTGCTACCGGTCCCAAAGGTGACTTAGAGAAGCAGATGTCTTGCGTCCTTTTGCTTTTGCTCGTTCAACTTATGTCGAACATTTTGAGCAAATAGGCAATTTTGTGGTCCCTTAAGGAATCAGGAAAACGTGGTTTGTAACAAGAAAATGTTTTAACTGGAACGCCACTTTTCAAACTCCAAACTCCTGAGAAATTTCAAAAGATAAAAATCCATAGATCAAATTAGGGTGAAGGAAACTAGCATCGGCAAATAAAGGTAAAAGTCCCGAAACCAGGCAAGATATACATCGGGGCTCAAATGTGTTCACTACCTGAATGGCCCCAAGCCCTCCAATTTGACCAAGCCCGAAAATGAGGACCGAAGGGAAAAACGCCCAAATATGTTCAAATACCGATTACATAGCTGTTGTGCCCAAAATATAAAACACTATAACACATTTACAATTTTTTATTACGCTTCAGAATGACCAGTGTATAAATAAATGTTTCATTGATTGTGTGTATCATACACACATGTGGAATGTGATAGTTTTGACCCTGAAACCGACCCCATAGATAAATGCATTTTTTATACTTTGCGTGTGTTTTGTTACTTATTTCTACGGCTAATTTAAATTTTCAAAGGCCCTTTACTTCAAAGCTAGTTTTCTAATTGAAGATCTTTAGGTTTCATTATTGGTGAGCACTTATAAGGCTGAAAAAATTTATCTCTTGGAGTGGTTGCCCATCTATTGAGTTCTCTTCACATAGCTTCGTCACATCAAGTGTCTTATTAAAAACTACGAAAATGAAAGGGCTTTTTTGTGAAGTACTTTTCAACAAAGCCTTCGATTTAATTAATATTCATCTTGCTAGACCTGTTTCACTTGTTCATGATTTCTCTTTTAGTAATTTGATTTTGGCCAGATGGACGAAATATCTTGCGCAATAAATTACGTGTAATGCCAATGGCAATAACAAAACACCCATGTGAATTTATTATCGGTTAATTCAGGTGTCGATCCTTCTTAACCTTATTTGACCAGATTTTTATTACTTAATGCGCTTAGGTACATACATGTTGAATAATTTATTTTTTAATAGACTCGGATAATTTCGATTTGCATTTGGGTGTATCATAGTTTCAGGGCAGGATTTAGATGCGATTACTTAATTAAAAAAACCTACTTCGCTTATTGGTAAACGCTAAATGCGCAGCTTTCTTGGAACCACCTTTTAATTGCAAGCATGGGCTTCATTCCAGTCATCATTAGTCCAAAGAAAAGATGGTATTCTCTAATTGTTTTTGGTTGCTCTTTTAATAACTTGAATTCATAACTAAAGAGGCGATTTAAAATATTTTTTGTGCGGGTTAATTGGACGATGTGCAACTGGGGATTGAGTCACATTGAATTTAATTAGCAAAAACGTTAGTTTGAATGTTAGGCAATTGCAACAATATACATTCTTGGAGTTTTAATTTTTTGGCGTCATTGCCCAGAAAATGCTCAAGCGCTTGGCTATTGTACAATTCTTAATGCCGGGTTTACACTACCGACTAATTGTTCTCACAGTAAATTGGTGTAATTTCAGTAAAACCAACATACATTTTAATACTTTAGTTCTGCTGTTTTGTGGTGGTGACGATGTGTAGATGTGGAACTGAGCCAAGAGCCAATTCTTTGCTTATGCCTCTAAAGAAGCGACTAATTTTCTTTATCAATTTGCTAAACTAACCCAAACTAAATCCCTAGTACCTCATTCTTCGTTACTTTACTTCGAGAATCGGGTGCCAATATGGTCGTTGCACAGTTTGCAAACAACAAAAATTTCCAGAAAATGTCCAACATGCTCTAAGTCCGCAATAAATCGAACGATTTATGAATCGCACCCGATTCCTGGTGAACTTCAATAATTGGACCACTTTGTTAGACAATAAATCGGGGGAAAAGTGCGTGGTGTAACACCGGCATTAAAAATGTTATGACTGGAATTCAATAGAAAGTGCATTAACTGGTTTTATTCAGCTCAAAAATCACTGGCAGTTTCCAAATCTTTACCAAAAAAAAGGTTTAAAAAACGTTATTTTTCCTATTTTGTTCTACCATTTTAAACATCAGTCACCGAAAATCAAGTTAATGCATTTTTTACGAAGATTGTTTAGCCATGTTTGAAATGTTTCCAGGAAGATTTTATCGTCATTTAAATAGAAAAAAGTTATTTACCGAATGTTACATGTTCATGATCCTCTTAATGATGCTCTACCTCGGGTGTTCATCTGCAAAATTGTTATTGCGTGTAAGCATTTGTTTGATAAATAAAACATTTATGTATGTGTGCGGTGTGTTTTATTAAGTGTTTGATCGTAATAGTAAATGTCCTCTAGCAGTTAAAAACAATATTTCCGCTGTAATTAGGTAGTTTAGAGTATTATTTTCGGACAAGTTTCCATTTGGATGCCTTCAATATTTCCTCGGACAAGGACAAGTTGAGTATTGGCGGTATTTTTAGATTTGGAATCGTAATAAACTTGGCGAGTATAATCGATTAAAGAACTTCTCTCCAATATTTTCTAATTAAAAGAAAGTTGTTGGTCGAAACCTCAGAGCCCCGCCTTAAGTCTCCACCCTTGAGCTTGACTGTTTACGTGATACCTGTTCCCATATTATACTCTTAAAATTGCTTCTGATTATTTACACCCCAGCAGCGTTTAAAACGGGTTTGGAATATAGCGTGTTGTGTGTGTATGTATGTTCTGTGAAAAGTTTATTAAATTGCCGGAGTATTGCGTTACAACTAAACCATCAACTGCGCCAAGAAGCCTTAAGAGTGAACTAATTGTAGGTATATTGCTGTCTGGTGGTGAGGTTAATAACAATTGCTATTGTTCGTTGTTACTTCAATCACGCTTCAATAGCAGGTGTCTGATTTCAGTTCCCATGCTCACTTTTCATCGGGCTCAAAATTTACCAATTATTTAGCGGGCTTCAGATCTCAAAAATCTCATAATGACCTATTATGAATCGCGATCGTCCTTTAGGCAGAACTAATTTTGGCTATATATTTAGCTAATCCGACATCTGCACAAGTCGCGAAAACCGAAGAAAAAAACTCATTCCTACCAAAGTAATGGTCCACCATAATAAAACTGTCAGAGAACCAGATTTGAAAAAATATTATCACCGCCCAAACGTGATTTTTACGTTATATCGCATCCTGGGGATTTAAGTACGTTCTCACGTAAACTAAATTTCGTAGGTAAAAATGCGACGAAGGGACTCTTGTTTGAAGACCTAGCTGGTGTTCTATTTGACCATGAACGTGCTGACAACTGAAGCCTGGTAGACTTTGATGGATCTTTAATCGCAGAAGCGATTTTTTCTCTATAAGAAAAAGCCAAATGGAACGTGTGAGATTTAAAGTAGAACGGGCACATTGTTGTTTCGCCTTTATTAATATGGAAGTTGCATTATATTCAGTGTCATCATTTATTAAATGTTGCAGCTCCAATGCTCCCATGAGATCATCCATTAGGTAAAGTAAATAATTGTATTGACCCTGTGGGAGCTGCGCAATCTTCTGGTATTGATAATTATTGTTGCACTTACCCAATCTCAATACTTATGAGTTTCAGACACATTTTCAACTGACTTTTTTGGTCGGAAGCTGTTGGGGTTCTACCTAAGCATACACAATCCTAACTTTTATCAGGTTTGAAGATCTGATAAGTTAACATTGGTCCGGACGATAAATTAGGTAGACCCTCGAAATTTAGAGTCCAATTATCGACGTGGAATAGTCCCCGGGATTTTATGTTGCTTTTATTTAATTATAAATCAACAAACTTTATCAGTCGTTTAGCATAATTGGGTTTTAATTTTTGTTTAGAATATTTGCTCTAACATGCTTCGGTTTTTCTTAATGATCACCTCAAAATGTTTTAATTGAAACCCTGAAACACATGGATACTAGAAAAGTAGCCATACAATTTCCTCAGCATACCAGCAGACTATTTCGGTTCCAAATCTGTTTCCTGCTGAAACATAAATATTTCTTTCAGTCCATCAATGCCCCATTTGAAATTCACTTTTCACTTTTGAATATCAAATCTCCTAATCTTTGTCTGGCAAGCTCCTCTTAGTCCAGCTTGCCAGCAGGCTATTTTTGATTCCACTTCTATTTCCTGCTTAAACAGTAAATATTTCTTCCAGTCTCTCACTGCTGGACTTGTGGTCTGTTTCTACTTTTCAAACACACAAAACTGATTGTTTTGCTCGAGCTAGACTTGTCTGGCCTATCTATTTTTGCACCTCTAGACAGCGCGCGTTTATACGCGGTCAATACACAGGCTCCTAACTCGAATTATATTCGGTCTTACTCCAATTGCTTACCAGAACACACACGTACACTTGTAATTATGCTGCAGGCATAATTAAGGCAGAGCAATCAAATTTTGTGTTGGTCTTTCAACACTTTTGATTAGTTTCGTGTCAGAGGCCTTGCTTGCTTATTTACGCAAATCATTTTTTACATCGTGTTGATACGAGTATGACGACTTCCAAATTATTAGTGTTTTAAATTTGTAGTCGACATGTTTGGTACCATAATTCTACTCTAATTAGAGCTGGAACTAGTCGATGAAGCCGTATCATTTCTTGTCTAGTCATGGAAACATTGTAAGTTTATATCTTCCGCGGTGTCAAAATCGTGAACAATTCGAACAATAGACAAATATGGTATAATTAAATGTCGACTCTTGACCCACCCGATACATCACAATGAAATTGTTCATTGTTGAGCAATTACCTTCTTCAGAACAGGAGATATGGCTTGCCGCAAGGGTCTAATTTTACGCCCTTGACTTTAACTTGATCAATTATTGCGCCTTAATTTAAATTTGTAATGAACCGCCATAATCTATGGGCATAAATATGCCTCGCAAAGATAATCTTCGAGGACAAAATATTAATTTTCCCCCGTCTGCAAATGTCTTGCGAGTTAGCACTTTATATCCTGGTCATTTAAAGAGAGTCGAATTTATATTCCTGACAAGTTTAAATGCAAATTCAAAAAGCATTTCATTTGCAAACACACAGCACAGATCTTTCATTTCCATTTCGACAGGCTTTAGTAACAATTTTTTTAATTACAGACATTTTCCATAAATATTTTTATTATGAAAAAATGCCAACAATGGATTCTTTGTCGCTTGGGGAATTCCGAGAAAATCATAAATTAAAAATGGTTTTAATAGTTTAATGTTTCGTAAAACAAATCGCTTGAAATCACATAGTGTTTTATCAAAACGGCAAAAGAAATCTTACTTTTGGAATTACTTCATATACCCGAAAATTAATTATGAAATAAATGAGTATTTACACACAAATGTAGTTCTTTTACTTTGGCTTTATAGGTTTAACTGCAAGCTTGACTGAGCTTTGGAAAATAATTCACTTTTGTTGGCAGGATTTCAATAAAACTGTTGTTTCTTTGTTTGTCATGCAGGTTGATTTGTGATTTTGATTTTTGCCTAATATTGCGGTTTTGATATTTTATAAAATTCGCCCTTTGCTAAGAAAACCTTGATATTTTTATGTAAAGGTGTTAATAGATTTCTTCCAAAACAAGGTTATTTATTAATTCCAATTATGGTTTTTTGGTGCTATCCATATTAGGTAACCGGTATTTAATCGTTTCTTTGTGGGTTATGCTCTTGTGTTTTTCCGGGTGGAAATTCGTAAAACAGGACGTATCAGATTGCGTTCCAGTGGAAAACCACACCTGCCTTGTGAAACATATTTCACCGTATCCATAAAGCAAATGTGAATAGGATCCAAAAATAAACAGACCATTTTTCACACTTAGTACATTATGCCTCTCTACCAATTCACATAATTTATTTTCATCGTCGCTTTTAAAAATAGTTCACTCACTTGAAGCAAAGAGTTTCAGTGGTGGAAAACAAGCACAAGATATACGTCAGCACTACTTCTTAGTAAAATCGAAAATAACAGCCTGGTAAATTTTATGCGTTCTTATATGAAATGTGGCGCCGAAAAAATGCTTTTTTCCATAACGTTTCTCTGACAGTTTTATGGTCTCATATAGTAGGTTTTTTTATATGAATTTGATACTTTTTGAACACAATTTCTTTTTAAGCGTTTGGTTGAAGCTTCAAATTTGATTATAAGCGCAATTGCGTGTAATAAGCATCCTCAAAGGTTTTCTAAGAACATAAAGCAAGCGGTGGTCTCTTCTGGTAGTTATCCAACATGATAATGCATAAAAGATTGTTTTATTGCCGATAAGAACTGAATGGCTAAATGACTAAAACCCACCTCCTAATGGTACGGCAGTAAGAAATTTCGAAATTAAATCCCAACCAATGGTTATTTCAACTTCCTTAGGTAAAGTAACCACAAGTTCTGATTCATATATCAAGACAACTGGAAACCAATTTATTAATTCCGAGAACCCTGATTTTTTTCTTAAGTGAGCCAAATCGTGAAAGCTTCCGCTCTTTAGTACCAACTCAACCAGTTCTGGTGAGCAATTGGGTTAGTTTTTATGGCTGAGACATTTACTGTCTGTTTATAAATACGGGTTTTCTTTGCTACATATGCAAAAACGATGCTTCTTTCGTCTTGATCTGTGCTGCTGAGCACGATTAATTTTTAAAACTATCAAAAAATCAGCAGTGGTTATTTTCGCTGTTTTGAATAGTAAACTTGTTGGCTTGGAGGAAGGAATTGGTTTTGCGCGCGTAACCTGATGATAAGGTTCCTTGAAGTAAATTATCCCTATCATAACTTCTCCCGATCATTAACGTCATCAACTACATGTAGTGTCCAATATTCATGAGCTCCTAACAGTTTGAAGGAAAGTAATTCTGCTTAAGTTGTTGTACAAAACGATTTAAAAGTAAGATGTTGAAAAATAAAAGTTTCTGAAGTTATTTACAGATCTTTTAAGAGCGCGAAACGAGTTCTGCTCTTGGGCAGACTCCGTTTATCAGCGCATTTATCAAAAAATATACAAGAGCATAAAATGTATGACTTGTTAAGTTGCCGAGAAGATATAATTAAAATAAAATAAATCTGCTTAGCTTCTGACAATTTTATGATTCTTCAATAGATTAACATTAAAAATCAAGGTTGGTGCACCTGTCGCTAGTATTGTCGACGTCTTAGCCGTTCCATTCGGTGCTTGGGCTATTAAAGAGGCCAACAAACCAACTGAACCGTCTGGTTTATGTTTTACTTACTACTTTTATGTACACTCTCGCCCAGAAGTAAGGCAAGTTCATACGTAACAGCTTGCATCTGAAGAATCGATGAGATGCGGACGTATATCTTCAGTAATTAAGAAACAATAATCAAATATCGCGGTAATTGGATAGGTCATGGACACTTATCGGTTTTGCATTAAACATTCGCAAAGTCGAATGTGTGTTTAACGGGCAAAGAACCGTTCAAGTCTTACAGTTCTCTATTGATTGCTCAAGCGGCATAAATTTTCGATTTCGGTTCGTTAGCACAAATTATATTATATTTTATTAAGTCATTTGATTTCGTAATTTCCAATTTGCATTCAATTAAAAACCCCATCATTTCCCATCTGATGCCAATTAATATCACTTTGATAAACATATTTTTGGTATCTAGATGAAGCAGTTAAGTAGCTGTTTGGTCTTAAATTGATCCTTAAATCGGTTGTTAAATGAACATTGGCATTATTTCATGATTGAAATAGGAGACAAAGCAAGAGTATATCGGTGAAAGTATGAAAAAATTGCCTTTGACTTAATATAGCGTTCTCCGACTGCCGTAGACAACTTGCTTAAGGTTACATTTTATTTGCATGGAATTATGATGTATGCACGTGGATTAGTAAAATTGATTTAGATTGTCTGTTCAGTAAACTGCAATTTCCGTAAATCTTATCAACTGCTGCTCTCGAGGTTCATTATTTCATGAAGTGTTTGGTTTGCATGTGTTTCTCAACTGTTTCTGTGATTTTAATAATCTTATCCAGCTATTCAATTGCAGGAAACTTTGGAAATCTTTATCTATGTAGGTCAGGGAATACATGCACAGCCCCTGCAGAGTATCTTAAATAATTTATTAAGAATTCAGTAATTATTACTATAAGCAAACTGCACCGACATCGGATAGCTGCAAGACATAAATGTTCAGTAGGTAAAGCGCAATGGATAAACATACCATACTACAGTTCGATATGTAATTATAGCTAATAGTTTGGTTCGTAACAGTCTACTGACATTCTCGGAGATCCTATCAAAAACAAATGTCTCTCAATTAAAAAACCAAGCGCATAGCTGAGAGCTAAAACGGGATAGACCATTTACTATACGGAGTCTAATTTTCTAAGCAATCGTTATTTAACTACTATTATAGAGCTGGTTTGCTTTGTTTTATACTTTACACCAATTGTATCCAAAGAACCTTCATCCAGTTTTATTTTATTTTCAAAATCGTCATCCCATCCACAACAATAGTTCAGAACATCAGCAACATTGTCAACTAAAATCTATATTTTAGTCTTGTACTAATGCCTAATGTTCAATTTATTGTTGAGGTGTCTTTTGCAAGTTAATTTATTAAATTATACGTTATTGTTGCTTTGAGTAAACTATGGGCCTCTCGTATGTAGTTAAAAAAATAGTCAACGCGCACATATTAAAAGTATTGCCATGTTTCTTATTCTGAATTTTAATTGCGTTGGCCATTCATCCGTGTAGTATATCTGAATTTTTAATATTCTAACTAACTGTATTGCGAAGTAGTAAGTGGCCCAGTCAGTACTTATATGGATGTTGCTATCGTTAAGAGTGGTATTCGATTCAGCCTAGTTTAAAGGGAATCAAAACCAATCACTCGAATTTTTGAATGGTACATTCTGGTTTATTCTTGCCTAGTTGATGCCGAACCTACCGGTAGTCACATAACAGGCCATACCTTGTTACGGCGAATTTTTATAATTGTATACAGTTTTGATCTATAACCTATCAGAATCGGTTTCAATTGCCCGGATTTTGGATAAGATATTATGGAATAATTTTTCGCCAACTGAAAGATCGTTATCGAATACCGGTTCTAATTGGCCGTTTGATTGTGTCAATCAGTCGTCTTAAACTATTACTTTTTATGTTGGTCCCAACTTGCATAATTTTCCCAATTTGGTTTGGCTACTTAAAGTGTATTCATGCACAAAGTTTGGCCATTAATTTTGATATGAATAGGGAAAATAAAAAATACACCGAACTATTTTTTACGTCATTTCTGAGCAGGACAACTTTCAGTTCAGTTTAGTGATAAATGCATAAATGAATGTTATCATTTTTTGAACTTGATGAAGCCCGTGTTTGACCGTGGTATTTCACCGAAGCCCTAATTACAGTCATTAGTAAAATAATCCAGGTCACTGTAGCATCTTCAAAACATGGAGTGTGATGATTCAGTTATAGGGGCTAAAATAAAATCAATTTTCCACAATGTATGCTTCTCTGATTTCCATCATGATTGATAAAACAGTTGATAAGCAGCTAAAATAATAAATTAGCATGCCGATATGCCGTAGATAAATGCGGTGTTCAGAAATTGTGGGGTTTTTTCAGACAAAGTAAGGAC